CACCTGTCAGCCTCCCTCCCCCCTCTCTCTCCCCTACAAGGGCGGAGCGGCGGGACAGAGCGAGGCCTGCGGCGGGGCGAGGCGGGCTGTCACGCCCAGAAATTTAACCCAAATTTCCAGACTATTTTGCGTATTAAATCCCTGTCCAGGACCAGCCAGGGTACACAAAATGACAAGTAATATACAGTTCCAAACGTAAATAAAGCGTAAAATACTTACGGAAGAGGCACTTAGTCCTCACACCGAAACAAAAGCAGCAGCAGCGGAAAAAGGCGATCCTAGCGGGGCTTCAGCTCCACTCCACAGGCAAAACTCAACTGGGGTCTGAGCCTTGGTCTTCTAACTCCATCTTCAGCTCAGAAGCACTACACTTCTGAAAAGGGGAATAATAGCAAGGCTGAGTACAACCACCGTACTCAGCAAGCCACACCAACGATGCAGACGTGCAAGGGGAACACAAGGACGGTTTGTGGCTATTTGCATAAAGGCGGTTGTAAAACATTTTATTGAGCAAAACAGTAAAACTGTTGAGTAATTAAAGTAACATTAAATCTCCACTGATCAACGCTACACCACGTTGAACAGGCCCAACCAACCCACCTGAACTACAGTGCATTGAGTCGATTTATTAAGGTGGGACTAATCACGGTGAATCTGGTCGACCGCCCATAACCGCGGGCACGGCTATTCGAATAGTTTTACTCTGATCAGAGGTGTACAACTGTACCCACAAGACACAGTCCCACGACACGTTTCCGTGCGCCGGCATGCCACCACGACATACCGGAAAGAGGCCGTGACAGGACCCTTCGCATAACCCCCTCTAACCAAGCACACCACACCTCAGGTTTCACCCCCACTCCTCGCAAGGCAGCGGGCAGTCCCCTCTCGTGCCTAGGTGAATCCGGAAGCCGCATAGGCCGTCGCAGGGCCCATCCAAACTTCATCACGCCCACCCTTGCCTGGATGCGTCGGCTAGAGGAAAGTTACACTACAAGCCCAGCCGTTGCCCACGCTGGCTTGTGGTAAGTACGATAAGTTCTTCCAGGGCATCCCGCGAACCGGTCCTTAATTGCCATGGGTGCGACTAGCAAAACCATGCACCCACAGCCCACCATTCAGTTGCATTTTAGTTGGATAATTACGACCATGAAGCATGGCCATATGTCTCGAGCACGCAGCTCACTCTGATACTAAAAAGGTCTAATATTGTAATTATCCCATCACTGTGCTAGTGGTAATTAAGCATGGCTAAGCATATAGTTCTAGCTAGGTCACATAAGTAACATGAGCTAGTCGATTTATTACCCAAGGTTGACAAAGAACAGATATCAAGTAAACATGGCACAAGCGAGCAGATAGGTAATACCCAGATCCCATGTAATTAGCAAAACATGCATATTTATTTGTAAACGGTAAAACATTTATAAATTGGGATCAACATGCTCAAGGGGAATGTGTGACTTGCCTTGCTTCTTCACTTTACTTTGATCTTCCGAACTCTTTTCCTCGCGACCGCGGACTTCCGAAACGACGGAAACTACACGCTGGCACGCAAAACGAGGAAAAACTCTAATAAAAACCAAAGAAACAGTACATAAAAAGTAAACAAACATGTAGAGCTCAATTTTAGATGAATTTTGCAAGTTGAATGGCTCAATTCGGAGTTCGAATGAATTAGATATGAATTTTAGAAGTTTTGAGCCATTTAAATGAATTTCTATAATTATTCACGAATTATTGCGCAATTATTATTTATTTTCTCAAAGGAAAAGGCTGTGCTGACGTCATCAAAGGGGAGGGGTGGCGCCGGCGGAGAGAGGTGGTTCGCGTGGCTACGGCGCTACGGAGGTGGAGAGGGGAAATGGAGCGGTGGCCGAGTTTGCCCGGGCGGCGGCAAAGCTGGCAGTGGCGGCGGAGCAGTGCGGCGGCGACCCTAGCGACGGGAAACGGCGGCCGGAGTTCGCCGGAGTGTGGCGGCGCGTGGGAGTGGCGTGGGGAGAGCGAGGGAGAGAGTGCCGGCAAAAGGAAAAACGAGGAGGAGAACTCGGGGATGGATTTTATAGGGGCGGGAAGGTCGGGAACGACCCGAGCGCGCTTGATTTCGCCGGCGACGTGGGGAAGGAGAGAGGGAAGGTGGGGGAGGATTCAATACGCGAAGCAGCGGAGCGTGGCGGACGGCGGAGGGCGCGGAGCGGCGGGGCGGAGCGAGGCGGGCGGCAGAGGCTCGGAGCCACGTGGCCGAGCGAGGCGGGAGGCGGAGGGCGCGGAGCAGCGGGGCGGAGTGAGGCGCGGAGTGTGGCGGACGGCGGAGGGCGCGGAGCGACGGACCGTGGCGGGCGGCGGCGCGACTTCATCCCTGGGCCCACCTCGTTGTCGTCCTCTAGGCCTGCGAATCATCCTGGCAAGAGGTTGTCGCCGTTGCTGCTGCCGCCTGGCGCGCGTAGGTCGACGGCAACCATGGACGCGGGCAGCGGGTGGTGGAATCAGGCGCCACATTCGTCGTCTGCCATTGATGAGCTCGGGCAGCGAATCGCCGCCGCATTCTCTTTTCCTTCCTTCCGGCGCGCGAGCGAGGAGTCGCGGCAGGAGAGGAGTCGTGGCGGCGGCCGGAGCGAGAGGAGCGGCGACGGCGGCGGGAGAGAGGAGCGGCGCGCGGCGGCCGGCTGACGAGAGTAGCGTCGTGTGGAGGCGGGCGGGCGAGAGGAGCGGTGCGCACCGGCGAGAAGGAGGACCGGCGGCCGACGGGCGCAAGGAGCCCTGCGCGGCTAGCCTCCCAGCCTCTCCCAGTCACCGTCTGTCATCCGCGGGGAAGAGATGTGGTGGAAAAGGTGGGACGTTTTTTGTTTGACTGACTGGTGGGTCCCGCATATTTTGTATATTTTTTTGTTTTTAATTTTGCTTCTTTATTTTTTTTTCCAAATCAAAACGCCACGTCAATGCCACGTGGGACGAAGACCTAGTCAAAGGAGCCACGTAGGCGTCATGTCGCCCAAAGCCACCCTCCATACTGCCGAGGGACCTTGTTTGCCCTGTTTTCATAAGTTGGGGGACGGGTCGTACCCGGTTTTGCGGTAAAGGGACGAAAATCAGACTGACCGAATAATAGAGGGACCTAATGTGAACTTATTCCATTTGACAAAAACGTCCCGTAGTCGCTAATGACATAAATTATGTGTTCTTGAATGAGGTGATAAGAAAGGAGGAGATACAGAAGGAAGACAACTTATATTATAGATTAATTATTGAAGGGTTATAGTCTTATAGACAATGGTTGAGATGATATGGCTTCGGAGAGATATAGCAATAACTAAATTATTTGTAAAAAAAGTGCAATCAGTCAATCGCAGGCGCTCATTGCACAAACACACATCCTACCTCTACGAGCACTTTCAAAAAAAGTAGGCCCATAAATCCTGAGATTGACAAAGCCAACACGAATGTTTCTCTGTTGATGGTACGTCATCTATCACTGAAAATATAACTCCCTCCACCTTTAAACATCTATCAGCTTTGACTACTACTATACCAACTTTGACCACTAATAATGATTTTTAGATGGATTGTTAACATTGAAAGGAAGTTTCATGGTTATGTTTAGTGTGCATACGCTTTAATAATATGCCATTTTCTTAAATATTTGTAAATTTTGTACAGAAAAGATGATTGGTTAAAATCTACAAATGAATAACTACCGCTGGTAGCTATTTAAAAATTAAAAACAAAAGGAGTAATTATATAAAATACAGTACAAAGTTACACTACTTGAAGATAAAAGTAAGTGAAGTTGAAACAATTTGAATGCATCTTGCTTATCTTGGTTAGCAAGAAAACTTCATCGTTTGCTCTTTAGCTTATTAGTTATAACCAAAATTTAAATTTTATAACTTAATTTTAGAGTTGATTTTGATTTTTTTCACTGTAGTTTATTTTGTACATTAATTTTAAGTCGCTGATAATACATATAAAAAATGTATCTTCAAATTATTTTGGGTCGCTAATAAGTGCTACGGATTATAGTCAACTGTAGACGAAATGGTGATGTGTCATATCCTATTTGCGCTTGAAATTGGCTATGTTTTATCAGCTTGGCACCGTTTGCATAGTCAATATAATTTGCAACTCTTGCCGTATATCTATGGACCACAAAATCCAGAAACAATGTTTAGACCAAGTCTGAAAAAAAATTGTTACAAATAGGATTAATTGATGCTCCATCAGCACATGTTACTTATGCTTGTTCAATTTATGAAGAGACATCTCTTCATGTGTCATGAATAAGATGCGTTCACACTATGTGCACCCCTCCTCCTACTATATAAATATTTGTAATAATTCATATACAAACCACTTATTACTTTTGGATCACTACTAGAAAAATAATTTGTTGCCACGAAAAAAAAATCATGCAACAATACTAAAATTGTGGCAATAGATACATGTTGCCACAATTTAAAATTATTGCTGGCCATGGTAATAAATAGGGTGGTAATAGGTTATTGCAACGATTTTTATTTAGTGGTAATAAATTTCGATGTTGCCACGGAATGGATGTGGCAAAAATTCATATTGCAACACTTCACTCATTTTCTAATGCAACAAAAATACTAAATAAAACAATGATTGTAAATCGTTGCAATTAAATATAATTATTTACCACAGAAAAATTATCATTGCAATAGTACAATATATTGCCACATATTCTTTTTTGTTGTAATAATTTGGTGGCAATAGCTCAATTATCCAAAAGTTCATTTCTTAATTATAAACGGTGGATATTGAATGATGGATGTTCAGTTGCTTATAGGGTTTAATTAAATATTATATAATATAAAGCCATCCAATACCATAGAGAAAAATAATCTAAGCAATACAATGAAAAATGATTTTGGAGAAACCGTATTTTTGAAAGCGGGGCATGAAAAATTGTCGGATCCCAAAACTAATGATTCGGAAACCGACATGTTTAGACTGTATTAAGCCCTGGATTAGTAAATTGATACAGGTTCAACAATCTGGATCTTCATTGCATACGTTTGAATAAGGCTCCAAAGGAGATATTATTACAAAATATATGGGTATTTACAAACTTGTGGCTAACTAATACAGCAGAAGCTATAGAATGACTTAACTCTAATGTTTGGCTATAGACTTAAACCATCTATCTAATCTAGACTTGAGAATTAGGTTGAAATGAAACTAACTTATATAAATGAACTCCTAGCTTCTGCACAAACTCCAAATTGAGTCTGAAAAAGAGGGTTGAAGCAAGGGTGAGTACAACGTACTCAGCAAGCTATTATATTTAATCAACAATGAATGTATGAAATGATAATATCCGTGTAAAGCTAGGTTTACCTGCAGAAAGCAAAGTAGAAAACCTGTAATGTTTTAAATGCAGAAGTATTTAATAAAATTTCGAATTAGGTTTCTAACCAAGATGCCATTGTGAGTCCCAATGCCCGATAACCGCGAGCACGGCTATTCGAATATTTTTAAGAATATTCCTACTGCAGTAGATATACGCTTTACCTGTAATCCATGACGCGCCAAACACATTAGCCTTGTCATGGCAAAGCTTTTCGGTTACTAACATCAGTGGTACCTGTTCCATGAACTTTAGTCCCCATGCGCTCTGAACGTAACGTTATCAGCAGCGAGAGGAGTTCTGGCGTTCCCGAGGTCTTTAGAGAGAACTGATTGTATGACACCATGTCATCACAATCAGGGTTCACAAATAAGTCATGACATTAATCTTAAATCTCATATATTTACCTGCGCCTCGGTAAATATCACAATATTGCCCTGCTCGGCATAAGTTTGCCTCCTGCGCGAGAACTTAAGAAGAACCACTATACAGAGGTACCACCTTTGCTAGATAACTTAATCAGCTAGGTCTATGCCCATACGAGAATTGCGGTCGTACTCATATGTTCTTCACATGTACTTGGCAGTCTTATGTCGGTTGGAACAGTACTAGCCACCCAGAAATTAACCATTTCTACCGTACTGTTCCAATCTAAGTTCATTATATTTTATGCAATCTAACTAGGCATGGCTAAGCAAAATCTAGCATATATCTGGTTTGCTATGTTCAGGTTATGCATTCAAAATCATGTATGACTAATGCATAGAATAGAGATATAGAATATAGGACATTTATGCTCAATGGGGAGGAATAATAACTTGCCTTACTCCAACGCAAATAAATCCGAGATAGGCAACCTGATTATCCGATCCTCGAAATACCACAGGTTGCCTCCAAAATATAATAGACTCTACTGTCAGAAGAGGAAGAGCCAAATTCCATAAAATCCATAAGATAGCAAAAGATCGATAAGCGGCTAGGAGAGCTAGGGTTCATGGTATAATATCTCCTTTATAGGGTATAGGGATTATGGGCTAACATTGGTCGATGTTGGGCTTTGGTAGAAGAATGGCTAGGATTTAGGTAGGATTATACCTAGGGTTTGGTTATATTTAGGCTGATTGAGGAGTAGGGCAATATATCGGCCAGATTCTATATTTTATGTATAGATTCTGGTAGACAGAAAGTAGGTGGCTGAGAGTATGGTGGATAGGTGGTATTGTAGAGGGTATAGAATTTGGATGACAGCTGGGATTTGACTAGCAAGGTATCGGCTAGGGTTTGGTTGGCAGCATAACGACTAGATTTAGTGTCCTTTATAGCCGGTGTCGACTGACAACAAATCGGCTAGAGGAATAGGAGGTTGGTGTAGGTTTGGTGGGGCGGAAGTGTAACTCCAACAACCGTGAGTGGCGGTGGAGCGGCTAGGATCACACAGAGCTCGAGAGCTAACTGTGCGGCGTGCTGTGGAGGTCGAGGGAATAGTGAAGCTCCGACCACTATACGCATCGAGGCGTGGGGTGCCAGGAGCATCACTTCGACCTTAGGTTTGGTTTTGCCGGGCTTTACAACCAACGGTCCGACGTCGGGGTCGGTAGACTGTACGAACGTCCCCATGAAAGGCGTAAAGTTCCAACCGGCGGCTTTTTAGTGGCTAAAGGGTATTTTGGATTAAAAAGAAATATTTGAAAAGGCAAACATAAATTCAAACGGTATTTGAATAAAATAAGAAAATTCAAATAAAATATTAAATAGCAAATTTAGTGTTAAAAGGTAGGGTTTGAATTTAGATGAATTTAGGTCCAAGTTTCATTGGAATCGGATCTACGATTTAGGAGATATTTAGGAGATATGGGCTTCTAAAGATTAGAATTTGAATTAAATCTAGAAAAGACGACAATGTACTGTACATGGGCCCACCTGTCAGCCTTTCTTTCCTTTTCTTTTTCCTTCTTCTTCTTTTCTCTTTCTCTCTCCTTCTTCTCGTCTTCTTCTTCCTCCAGCCGATAGAAGGGAGAGGAGGAGGCGGTTGGGGCGGCGGCGCTCCGGTGGCTAACAGGCTGCGATGCCGGCGACCATGCGTGTTCCCGGATGTGGCGCACCCGTAGGAGGCGGTTTCCACTGCGGGAGAGGAAGGAGGACATGGGAACACCGATGACAAGAGCTCGGCCCAGCATGAGAGAAGAAACTCCGGTGATGGCTTAAAGTGAAGTGGGAGAGAAGGGAGAGATGGGAAAAATGAGTTCACCGGAGGGAGGCGAAGCCGGTGGTGCAAGGATTTGGCTAGTGGTGCTCCGGAGAGAGAGATCGGCCGACGGTGGTGGCAGCCGGTCTTGAGGAAGAGAGAGAGAAAAAGACAGAGCTCGAAGAGCTCGAATGGTGGGGGAAAAAGGGGCCGGCTCACCGGCTATTTATAGGCGGTGAGAGGTCGGTTTGGAGGAGGAGGAGGAGAGGAACACGGCGCCAGCGGGTGGAGGAGAAGAAGTCGGCGCCGGCTCCGTTTCTGATTGGTCGACAAGGTCGGTTTTGCTCGAGGATGACGTCAGTGAGGTGAGGTGGCGGCTGAAGTCGGTGGCGGTTCCTTGGTGGCGACGGCAAGACGACGGCGGCGGCACCGAGTTGTGGGCGGCGATGGTGGCGGCGCGCACGCGCTCCCATGGCGCACGGCGGCGCCCACAGAAGGAAGGGAGGAGAGAGGAGGCGGCTCAGCTGAGGCTGGGCCGACTTGGGCCGCATGAAAGAGAGGAGGAAAAAGGGGAATTCGGCCCAATCTTAAAAGGAAGAAAGTCTAAAGTTTGAATAAATTGGATTTAGAGAAGTATTTGTATTTGAAGGGAATTTAGACAGCTATTTTGGAAAGGGAAATTATATTTAGAGATAATTTCCGAAATAGATATTTTCCTAATTATTTGAGTGCAATCTTTTAGAAGTGGCAAATAATGGAATTTATTTAATGCACTCAAATGAGAGAGAGAAATATATATTAATATGAATAGTAGGATAGGATTTCTAATTTGAATATATTTTCGAGAAGATGAAAGGAAAATGGAATAGAAAGAATTTTAGCCCAAAATATGTGGTAGAAAACTAGAGAATTAATTATGGGCTAAATAAGGTTTTGGTTTTGGGATGGAAGGATGAAATATATTTTCTTAGCACAAGAGTAATTATTCACAATATTTGTAATAATATTATTCTTGTGCCAAGAAGGAAATCAAGCCAAAGGAATTAAATCAGCGGCTAGATCAAAAGGAAGAATTTGGAAAGGGGACTAAGGATAGGTTTAAGATCAAAGGATGGGTCGACAATTAATTCCAATAAAATTGGAATTGCAAGGATTTGATTTAAGTTCAAGGGTAAAGTTGGAGGGTTTCTTGGACCATAATTCATGAAAATAAAAAGAGTTTTCAAACTAAATTTGAATAAAGGATTGTAGTTAAAACAAGGTTTTAGACCAAATCAAGAAATGCCTCAATTAACCAAATATACTTTAAAAAGGGAAAACACCAGAGAGAGAGATTTTATGCAAGTTAGTTCTAGGAGGTCCCTCTAATGTCCTAGGTTTAAAGAGGATATGAAGAACATAAGAACCGGCATGATGCAGGATTAGAAAATAGTTAATTTTCAGGATGTTACAAAAATCCACTCAATTATCCATAATCCATATTATGTCTTTAGCTAAGCTAAATGGGACCTAAGATGATAGCATAAGGCTTTCACTTTTCTTTTTCTTGGTAGTTATTTCCTTTTTTAGCTTCTCAATACAAAAGTGGCAAATGTAATCAGGGGAATTAATTTTTGATAATGAATTTACATCATCTATATTTGTGTCCTCGAATAATTGATTATACCAAACAACTTTATTGCTATAGCTATAGGTAGCATATCGTGATGACAACTATATCGTACGTGTCAAGTCTATGGTTGTTGGTCGCTGAAGTGGCACGTCACATACATTGTCCTTTGTATTTTGCATAGATGTCAAAGGAAATGCATATCCAATATGTACATATGGCACCCCGAGACATATGGTTGATCTATACCTTAAATCTGTGGACAAAGATAAGTCTGCCCAAGAGAAGAAAGCCAAATCACATTTCAATCTCCAAACCGACAAAACCAGGGAAGAAAGTTGTTCGCAACAATTCCTGAAGGAACCCAACAATAACACATCTCTTCCACAGAAGGATGATCCCATGAGCACTGACGACATTGTTACAGAGTTCACTTTGCACAATATATTTAAAGATCACGGCTTGTCTCCAAATAACATAGAAACTATGTCAATTACATAGACACTATGTTGACAACTTCCTACCATGTGTTGTATTTTGAATAACCGTCATCTATATTTTTTTGCTATTAAGCTACAATATTGTAACAAACATATTCAATATATCATACAGTTTGTATGACTTTTATTTATCTAACAAGAATTCCATGTCATATTATTCTTTCTATATATATAGATATTACGAGTGCCAATCCATGAGGAGGAACTATGCCTTGTGGATGTTCCACAAACTCTATACTTTGGGACAAAATATTTCTTGACTCTTAACAAGAGACAAAATTTCATTTTTATATAGTGTACCATAAAAAGTGAAGGTACCAAAGAAAACCACTCAACTCCCGGCCCATTATGTAAATAAGAGGGGGAGAAGTATGGTCACAAATGGGATACAACTTCTTGCAAGCGTCTCCGCAGAAATAGATGAGTAACATCCTCCAAGAAAGTAGATACAAGTCAACATCAAGTTGATAGACCATATGGATATTTATTATCCACTGTCTATGGATGTAAACCATCCAAAAGCCCAGCAAAATTGCACACAATTTTGAGGTGCTAGGACATCAAAACTCTTTGACTCTTAGTGCTGTGGGAAATATTGTGGAGTCCAAAAGGGTTGATATTTCCACAATCCATACATACAAAGACTACAAAATATCGACATATACTTCTCATTCCTTACACCTTCAACTGGAAACAGACCAAAAGTCCTAGGCAGAGTGTCCAACACACTCAAAATGGGTCAAACTAATGGTGGCAATTAAGGAGTTATGCTCTCGCTCAATAATGAAAAGTATTATCATTGTAATACATTATTCTCATAATATCCTTTCTTATGGAAGCAAGGTGGTGAGATAGCGAGAGCTTATAGCACATGTTCTCATATTAAATCATTGGCAGATCAAACAAATTCGATAGCTTTAGACAAATAAGTCCTAATGTACTTCACATTCTGAATCGGATACAAATCACAATATATATTGTGTACTGAAAGGACACCATCCTAGCCTCCTAGTGGGTTTTGGCTAATTGATGACAAACGATCAGAGAACAACTAAGGGAAAATTGGAACCATGCTATTATAATTTTGCAAAATTTGAGATATACATCCTGACCCACATGTCATTGACTCATGTGGGTCCTACATGTCATTGAGATACCGATGACATATCTTAAACTTTGCAAAATTATAATGGCATGGTTCCAATTTACCCAACAACTAATGAAAGTATTGAGTGATAAGCAGGCATTAGATGCTAAAGTGAGTGAAGAGAACTCTCAAAACAAAAATTGAACTGAAAAAGGATCTGGCAAAGTTTGGATGATATAAGATCAAGTTGCCCTAAAAGGTAGGTGTTTTAATGGCTTGTCTATACAATGGTTTCTCCTCAAGTTTTCCTATAGGGTTTCCGAGGAGTTTTTCCGATGGGATGAATGAAATGATGATTACCAGAAGCCAATTGAAGGGGGTATTAGAAATATGATCAATTAGGGTGTGTTCGCTGCTGATGGATGGGAACATATCACCTAAGCATAGAAAACGGAGCAGTTCATTAGCGTGTGATTAATTAAGTATTAGCTATTTTTTTCAAAAATAGATCAATATGATTTTTTTAAGCAACTTTCGTGTAGAAACTTTTTTTTTAAAAAAAAAACCGCACCGTTTAGCAGTTTGAAAAGCGTGCGCACGAAATATGATGGAGAGGGTTTGGGAACCCTTGGTCGGAACACACCCTTAATTATCAATCAACACATGTTGATTGCGCTTGTGCATGTGAGGGACATGTCCTGAACAGGACGTGTTCACACTATTTTCACACACCCTTCTACTCTATAAATACTTTTCATGTACAAACCACTCATTGAATACTAAAGTTCATCACTCAATTATTTCAATCTTCACTTCTAATACAAATTAATGAAACGGTGGATAATTAATGGATGATCATGGTTGCTTATTGGGTTTAACTAAATGTTATATGATATAAAGCCAACCAATACCTTAAGCAATACCAATGATTTTTTTTTGGGGGGGGGGGGAATGTGTTTATGGAAGTGTGGTATGAATAATCGATAATCCATATTCCGGCTTTAGCTTAGCTAAATAGGATCTAATACGACAGCATAAGATCTATGCTTTACTTTTTCGTAGTTATTTCCTATTTTAGCTTCTCACTACAAAAGTGGCAAATGTAATGAGAGGAGCTAAATTTTGATAATGAATTTACATAGTTTATATTTGTGTTGTTCGAGTAATTAATTATACCAAACAACTTTAATTAATTGCTATAGCTATAGGTAGCATCGTGATGCCAACTGTACTACACGTGTTAAGTATATGGTTGTTGGTCGTTGAAGTAACACGTCACGTACATTGTCATGCATGTTGATGCGCCACCGTTCAAATCTTGGGTCACGCGACTTCAACATAGCATACGTTTACGAAGACCATTCCAAGATTAGAACCGTCACAAGGAGATATATAAAAGCTTTATTTTTGAAAAGAAAAAGGAAGGTACTCCTATAAAATCTGCAACTGTGTTCGATTATCTAACAGTACACATTATAAGAGTAAGTGATCAGACGGCTGTACGTAGTGACAGCATGTTGAGCATGGTGATATTAAGGCAGCTACTCCGTAAATGGGATGGCAAATAGTAGTACTAGCAAAGGGTCCAGTATTTTTGTTTGGGGTAAGATGGGTGGGGGTGGGATCCAAAGGCGATGACGGCTGTGGGCTCGCGGGTCGAGATGGACTGACGTCAAGGCGGGGGGGAGGCCACGTGGCGGAGGGAGGAGACCCGTGGAGCCCACAGGTGCACCCATGTGTCAGGGCCCACCCATCGTGTCGCGCGCGCTGCCTCCTGACTTGGCGCGGTCACGCCACGTCCACAGGGTTACCTAGGACGCGCACCCGCGCAACACGTACGTACGCGCAGTCAAGCCTCTCTCTCGATCTCTAGCTTGCTACCATCTCATCTGACGACAGTATATATGTATCATCCAGTCCAGTCCAGTCCAGGGGATGATTCTGATACATCGATACAATCAAGCTAGCATGGAGATGGACATCGGCGAGGGCGAGAGCTGCTGCGGCAGGCGAAAGCAGCAGCAGCAGCAGAATATTAGCAGCAGCAAGTCACGCAAGTGCTGCCCGCTGCGGCGGTCGCGGAAGGGGTGCATGAAGGGGAAGGGCGGGCCGGAGAACCAGCGTTGCCCCTTCCGCGGCGTCCGGCAGCGCACCTGGGGCAAGTGGGTGGCCGAGATCCGCGAGCCCAACCGCGGCGCCCGCCTCTGGCTCGGCACCTTCAACACCGCCCTCGACGCCGCCCGCGCCTACGACTCCGCCGCCAGGGCCCTCTACGGCGACTGCGCCCGCCTCAACCTACTCCTCGCCGCCGCCACCGCCGGTGCTCCTCCTGCTGCTGCTACCCCTTCCGTGGCCACGCCCTGCAGCACCAACGACGACTCCAACAACTCGTCTTCCACGACGCATCAGCAGCAGCTGACGACGATGCTGCAGCTGGACGACGACAACTACACGCTGCAGCCGTCGTCGTCAGATCAAGAGGACTTCGAGACGTACGTCACGCGGCTACCCAAGGCGGAGGACTTTGGGCTGGAGGGCTTCCAGGAGGTTCCACTCGACGTCCTCGACGAAGCCGGCGGTGGCATCAGCATCTGGGACCTCTCCATCTGCCCCGCCGATTTCATGGCCACCGCCGCCACCACCACCGCCAAATCATCTTAATTATATATTCATAATAATAATAATAATAATAATAATAATAATAATTAACGACGACGACGACCTACCTACATCATATATCTATCTATCTAGCGCCCGCGCGCGGCTGCCTATATAGATATATGATGATCAGCTCCATCTCTCTCTAAAGTCTAAACATGCATGCTTGTCGTCGTCGTCGTCGTCATCATCGTCGTTACTTGTATATATACTCCACTACTTAGTACTAACTACTATAATTAGCTCTAGCGTACTGCTACTTTTATACGGCATGCAAGCGGCCGACATCCTGATCGATCAACTGTGAGCATGCTGTATGCATCGATCGATCTTAATTAGTTAGGCGAGCTGTGCTTGCTTATCGATCTTAATTATATCATCCGATCCCATATTATATAAGTAATACTAATTAATACTATATATATTATGTATATATTTGTGCTATAGCTATAGCTAGCGCGCTATATAGTCGTGTGTTGAGATATGATGCAGCTATATATATCAGCCCACTCGCGAGGCGCAGCACTAGTGTTTAATCTAATTATTAGCTTGGTACCTAGTACTACATGATTAATAAGCTACTATTAATTGTACTATATGGGTTTGGTTCTAGCTAGCTAGTCGTAGTACTGTACAGCGCCATGTGTATATACTCTACTAATTTAATTAGTAGTAATTAATAAAAATGTGTCAAATTAAATAAATTGGGATATATTCCACGATCGATATATCGATCCACCAGTTAATTTTCTTTCAGTGAATTTCTTTCAGTGAATTATGATGATGAGGTGCGTGTTGCCTGCACTGCTCTGTCCGTACGTGCATGTACTCCCTCACTCCATTCCATGAAAAATCAAACTAGGATGAGATTTTACGTTTTCTAATACAATAAATCTGAACAAATGTATGGTTAGATTTACTGTGCTAGAAAATATTAATATTACATCCTATTCTAGATTGATTTTTTATAGAAAACATTACATCATATTCTATGTTGATTTTTTATAGCATGGAGAGAATACGTTTTAAATATATACTCCCTCTGTCAACAAAATAACCTAGTAATAGTATGTTGACAAATGTATGGTCAGATTTACTGTGCTAGAAAATAGGATGCTATGCTAGAAAATATTACATCTTATTCTAGATTGATTTTTTAAGAAAACATTACATTCTATTCTAGGTTGATTTTTTATAGCATGGAGAGAATACGTTTTAAATATATACTCCCTCTGTCAACAAAATTAATAGAATATTCAGATTTGTTGTATTAGGATGTGTCACATTATGAGGAATAGTATGTTCAGATTTGTTGTATTAGGATATGTCACATTATGAGGTTGAGTTTTTTCTACCAAAGGAATATGTTGTTGACAATTAATACACACATTCATGTATATGCATGTGGTGTATGTGCCGATGGAGGCGATGACTCCAGCTTTGCTGGGGGCCGGGCTCTATGCATGCATGTACGTCAGTTTGTATATGGCAAAAGTGGTCTATATAGATGGTATCCATGTAAATAAATTTTAACTATAGCAATTCTCATAATGTATATGGATAGAAGTTAGGAGAAGAGAGGGAAGTAGAGATAGATAATATTTTTTATTTCATATGGGTAATCTATATGGTATAGGTATCTTTTATTATTTTCTCTATATAGTATATAGTATAGTTACACAATGTTAGTAGGTGGCTGAATGAAATAATTTATTCACTATGCACTATTTTGTACTATGTCTCCTGCGTACAAGTAACTCCATCGATCGACTCTCCATCCATATATATTATTTAAATATCGGTCAGCAGTACATATATGCATGCATGCTCGCGCGTGTCGCCCTGCATGCATCGCATCTGTAATACTCCTACGTGTCATGTGATATACTCTTTCCATCTCTAAATATTTAACGCCGTTAATTTCTTTAATATATTTAACCGTTCATCTTATTAAAAAATTTAAATAATTATTAATTCTTTTTTCTATTGTTTGATTTATTGTTAAATATATTTTTATGTATACATATATAGTTTTACCTATTTTACTAAATATTTTTGAATAAGACGACATATTAAAAATATGCATCGATCTAACCGGCGTCGTCGTTTCGCCTATCCATTGTGGTGGATTCCACGTGAGCTCAATATAATCCTATCCAGCTATCAGAAGAATTTCTATCTAGCGATTGCCAATATAGCAAGTTGAGATGGCCGAGTTGGTCTAAGGCGCCAGATTAAGGTTCTGGTCCGAAAGGGCGTGGGTTCAAATCCCACTCTTAACATTAATAATCTTTTTAAAAGTTCAAAACATAAGTATTTTTTCTTTTTTTCACTCTCTTCCTTTTTTAAATTTCATTCTTCCTTTTTAAAAGTTCAAAACATAAATATTTTTCTTTTTGCACTCTCTTCCTTTTTTAAAAGTTCAAAACATAAATATTTTTCTTTAAAGTTCAAAACATAAATATTTTTCTTTTTTCACTCTTCCTTTTTTTAAGTTCAAAACATAAATATTTTTTAAAGTTCAAAACATAAATATCTTCTTTTTCCTTTTTTTGAAGTTCAAATTTATTTCCTTTTCCCCTCTGTTCCTTTTTTAAGTTCAAATTTAGACCTAAAAATAGCTAGTTCTTTTTTTAAAGTTCAAATTTAAATCTCGAATAGCTAGTTTATATTTTAAAGAACCCCACTCTCAACATAAATATTTTTTCCCTCTGTGTCTTTTTTGAAGTTCAAATTTATTTTCTTTTCCCCTCTGTTCCTTTTTTAAGTTCAAATTTAGACCTCGAATAGCTAGTTTATATTTTCCTTTTTCTCTCTGTTCTTTTTTTTAAAAGTTCAAATTTAGACCTCGAATAGCTAGTTTATATTTCCTTTTTCCCTCTGTCTTTTTTTTAAAAGTTCAAATTTAGACCTCGAATAGCTAGTTTGTGATTGTTGACGGTCGTTATCGATCAGTTTCGACCGTCAATATTACTAAAACAGGAGAGAACTAGTGATGTTTGCAATGCATAAATATGTTAGAATAATAATATTCCACTAGTATTAGGTCTACTAACCTTTTTGCAGAGAATGACAATAAAGTGGAGGAGAATCGACATCAACACAAACGATAAATCAATCAGACGATGTCGAGGACCAGACTTATGTATGAATGGGCCAAGAACTCAAAATTGACACGATGAATTGGGCCAAAATTCACAAGTCTGCAGAGTGGAGCAATAGAGGAGGCCACCAGCCGAAGTTGGGCTGGATTGGGCCGGCCCCAAGTTCGGCCGAACCTGGTGGTTCGCCGAACCAATCCTGGCGCCGTTGGATCCAGGTTTTGGCGTGGACGTCCAGGATTGCATCCTAATGACGGTTGGAGGGCACTTTGGACAATTCCCCTTCCACAACCGTCATACCTACCTCTATATAAGGAGCTCACTCTCTTCACTTCAACACACACCTCAAGCAAGAGCTCTCTCATTCCTCTCAAGTTTAGTTTAGTAGTATCTAGCTAGTGGAATAGAATTAGAATAGGAGTCAGGAGTCCGGAAGTCTTCGGAAGAGTTCGGGTATGGCTCTAATAGATTTCCTTTCCTCTTTTGTAAGCTTTGTACTTTTATTAGAATACTCTTCTAAAAACATTTCTGGTATTAAAATACTTTCCGAGTATATGAGTACCAACTTTACATTATGTTCTTGTTATATTGAATATACGGCTAGCTTATCTAGGAGATGCTTTGTTGCGGGTATAATGTTTGCTTATGCAATTACTCTATGTCATGACTATGATATTAGAGTAGTACCTGGTAGTTTAGACGTCGTGTCTAGATTACGGGATATCATTATTTGGGGTTATATATTGCGGATGAGAGGTGGGCCGCTGATGGTGACAGCTCAGTACGGGTATTCCTCCGCGCCTATATATAATCCTAAGTTAATTTCCTGGGGAGGGTATTTCTCCGTATTTAGCCTCGGTTGAATGGTCATGACGGGCTGTCGTAAGGAACTCGGCAGTCATGGATGGCTTCTCAAAGTACCAGGAGGGCATCGGATAGAGGGTATTAGCTAGTATATCAGTTAACTAGAATGTATGTATATTATGTATATTAGAAGTATAGGAATAGATTCTCTTTCTATTTTCTTTCCACCTAGCTTAGATTATTTATTATGAGGATGAGTAGAAATGCTTGTGTGTCACTCTACCCTTCGATTATCTTAACCCCTGCTTAGAATATGATTATCACAAGTAATATATAAATTATTAGTTGAGTTCTCTCTACATGATCTTCCCACGGGATAAAATAAATACGATACCCTTGGAATACTCTCGGGTGAAATGCTACAATGGTATACCGTGCGCTTGCGGATGAACTCTGTAACCATAATATACCAGAAGTGTTTCTGCGCCATTGCTGGAAATTATATTTCTAGTAATGTCCTTAAGAAATATCAACAACGGTTTGGTGTCAAATTATGCCTTATCAATTCTTTGGCAATTTTCAACAATGTTTCCTGATGTTTGGATTGGTACCCATATCTCTTAATTAGTACATACCAGACGCGGCCGGGCGCAGCTGGCACAGTGGCAGCGCAGGAGAGTCGAGGCGGCGGCAAGTGGCGACAGGGAGTTTGGTGGTGGCGATGGAGAGGAGGCCGTGGTGCAGAGGAGGGGCGGCAGCGAAGGGCTCGGGACCGAGGTGGCTCGGTCGAGGCAACGATGGTAGGAGGTGGTCGCGGAGGCGGTGCCCATGCTGCCCGTCGGGATGGGAGGAAGGTTGGTGATGGGGATGGGGAGCTCGGCGACGGCAGTGGCATGGGGGTCGACAGCGATGGGGATGGAGAGGTGGCTGGTGGCAGGGAGAGGGGAAGAATGACGAGGATGTTGCTCCCGGCGACGGTTTTGCTTGGGCGATGGCTTCCAGGAGAAGGAGAGGCCGGAGTAGCATAGTGGCGACGACAGTGGCGGTGACACCAACACGAGAGGAGGGTCGTACAAGGTGAGTCTTCTCGCCGGTCTTCTATTTTCGGTGTGGACTCGGTTTGCCGTGAGTGTGGTCTCTCTCTCTCACTACTTCGCCGGCTTTTGTGTGAGGGCTTTGGTTGACGGGGAGTAGTGGTGCACGAGCGGCGACTGTTGATGGCGGTGTTGGATGTGATGGACGGCGGCGGTGGGGCTGGACGTCGACAGCGACGGAAGGCTTGCCGGGTAAGCCTAGCGCCTTGCTCCTTCCTTCTTTTTCGGTGTGGAAATGGTCTTTGCAATCGGAGTGATTCCTCTAATGTGTTGCCAAATGCTTGGGAGTGGTTTTTTTTTTTTTTTGACTAGGGGGGGGGGAGCTTCCCCACCTGAATTTGTCATTGAATTGTAGAATGATAATAAGGTTCATTACATAAGATTGAGAGTTTGAAGAGGGGAAGAGAAAATTGCCTTCCAAACAGATATTACATTTCGATCCTCAGGCTTTAAGATTTCCGCCCAAAGGACAGCCTTGCTTACACATCGTTGGAAGCACGAACCAATAGAGGGCGGCAACCCCCTGAATACCACATCATGTCTGTGATTCCATATCGCCGAGAAGCACAGCAGGTAGAAGACTCTGAAGTGCAATACTGGCACCACCTGCGATGGCTTGGGCTGATGGAGAATCGTGGGAGTGGATTTTGGTGGATGGGGAGTGCACGCGTGCAGGGGATGAGGTTGAGGAGGGGTCCCAACTGAGCTGATGGCTGCTGAGGTTTGGTGCAAAAGACTGTGATGGTTCGGCAGAGGTGGGTGCAAGACACTATTAGGCTTGTAGGCATTACATCGAATACCGGCGTGCATGCATACTTGCCGTTTGGGGGCAGGGAGGAAATGTGGACTTCGTCTGAGAGGAAAGAGGGAATGGGCCGGCATGGGCTAAAAAGGGAGGTCCACTGCAATGTCTTTGTAAATTTGCAGGGAAGTAATATGCCCGTGCTAAACGTTACGGTCTAATTGTATTATCTTTAATAACTTTTAAATTTTCATGTTAGAAAAAAATGTGTCTTCTATGATATGTGCAATTGAGCTTTAACTCAATTCATGTCGTACATAAGATATTTCACGCAAAGTACAATAATATAATATTGTGCATCATATTACAATGATGTGTACATCAATAAGGGAATAACCACTTTCCATATCATCAATATGGTTCACACGTCTAAGGGTATTTCTATGCATTAAAAAAGCTAACTGTTCCTGTCCACCTATTCAAGCAACAACATTTTTGTTTTAGAACCTTTTCCATTCAGAACTTCAGAGTGGAAGAAGGATATGATCACATCAACATAAATGGTAGAGAAATTCATTTAAAACCAAATGAATGTGGGTGATGTACTTCATGCTTTCTTAGAAAACCTATACTGACCCATGGATACTGATGATATATGCATGACACTAACTATTTTCATTGACATGCAGTACAAATATGGTTCCAGACATAAAAACAAAGGATTAATAACTCAATTCATTTCCCAAATTGGATACGTCATGCAATCAAATTTGGAAATTCATTTCTTAATTCATCTCCCAAAGTACATTATTCACTCTTTCAGAGTACATAATAAACAACAAAATAGGCTGCAATTATTACAAATTTTACCTCTACATATAGCTTCCATTGATCAAAAACAGAATATTCCACCACAATTTTCATTCACCACATATAGCAATAGAGAAATAAAGTCGCACTACCAGGCACGAAGGAACTTGTTCTGCAGTGCAATCAGTCCCATGGCATACATGGCCTTCCCTTGTAGTTTTGACAAAGAGAGGAAAACCTAATAGAAACTCAATCGAAACCATTTGGAGAATCAGAGCAACTATGAGAAAGTACAGAATAGCAGATGTATCATGTATTTGTTGGAGAAGACAACAATTTTTTAACTGATCAATTTGTCGGTGATAGTGAAGATGGCAGAACCCCACCTGAGTGAAGATGGCAGCCGCGGCAACGCCGTTGGTCAGCACGGGCCACGCCTCGATCGGTCAATCGATATAAGCCACTGCATGTTTGTAATTTCACACTTTTAGACTTTAAACCAAAGTTCAGACTTTCAGAGTTACCTTTGTCAACGAATCCAAGGTTCATACTTTCAGAATCTTAACCATGGTAACTTATAACTTAAACTGCCTTATCATGTGCTTCCATGTATGCACATTTACATTCTAAAATTTTAACTTAGCTATATACATATTCTGTAATTTATACCATATGCTGAATCTGAAAGCACGGTCACTGTCGACGTAATGTAGCAGCTCCAAGTCCTCTTTGTTTATATGGGAGTCAGGAATCAACAAGGAAGTACTGCCCACATTCAATGTCAGTGGCTGCTACTGCAAGTGCCGTACTGCAGATAATCCCCACTGTGGTAAAAATAGCCTAAAAAATGAATCCCATCTTACCCACATTCAATGGGAATATAATATCTACAAATGGGAATATAATCAAGAGTATAAAGTTTGATTGTTTTATACTAACTTTTTGTGTTCCAATTCATGCTGCAAGCTCTACAGATTAATCAGACTGACCATGGCCTTACTCTGCCCATCCAAAAGCTGCATATGATTCTCCAATGATTTGCCAACAACATTTGCAATGTCATTTGCAGTGCTCTGCAAATATTGCATCTTGATAGACATGGAATCACCAACAGTTTTTATATCCCTCTGAATATGAACAACCACTTCCTTCAGGTCACCAACTAAAGAAAAATAAAACAAGATCATTGAATTCTTGAGCGCATTTATACCACACAATTTCATCTAAATTATAAAAACTGAAGCTAAAAAAATCCTGCTAATTTGCACATAATTAGACATATCCGATTCTATAGCCATGGATCCCATCACATCAATTCAATTGACGCAGCATTGCAGAGTGCAGACAAACAAAAATATATATCCGATGACAGTTGCTATTAAGAACATAGTGTTGCATAAAGTGTGATTGAATTTAATACTATTGCAGAATACAGACTGAGTACTGAATGTTGTAGCATTAAGACAGACTAAGCAGAAATTCATGTACATGTCAGGAATTCATTTTGTTGCAACTTAAAGTGTAAACTATAAACATCCGCGGTACACATTTGTATGGATTGGAACATACGTCTAAATACAATTCAAGATTAATATGGTTTATGAGCAATATGCTCATGATTTTTTTTAAAGCTGCTTTATTTTTTGGAAATACAATATGCAGCATGATCTTAAGATGACAATTTGCTTGTCTTAATACAAAGATACGCAAGTATCTTGCATATTCCTAAAAAAATGGACATTTGCTCCAATAACTGAAATATTGATAGAGGCGAGCTATGACTCGTGTATCTGATTCAACTGTGCATCTTCTGTACAAACAGCAAAGAGTCAACCTAATGAGCTTGTGTAAATAAATGACCCCAACCTCACATGCCTTCGCTAAAGGGCACAATTTCATTTTTAGCTGGCCCACCTAATTAATTTCCTTGTTCAATCCATCATGATATGATTCTTATACAGTATAGCCCCTCAATTATCTAAAGAAAGAAAATAAAGAATTTAAGTAGTAGCTTACGGTTGGAGGGCATATACAGCATATCATGATTCTTAACCAACCGAGTAGATGATTCCTGGAAATACCATAAGTTGGTTAGGCACTGCAACTCAAATACGACAAAAATAAATAAGCCAATTAAGCTGAAAGTAGCGTAAAAGAGTCTACTTTGATCTGAGCAATGGTCAATAGAGTCACCATGGACAGCAATTTCCATTTCATTTTTTAGACAATTGAGTTCCCCTTCAGTCTGAAACAACAAACAGTACAAATTGGATCAACTTTGATTTAAGAAAAAAACCGTAGAAGTAAATTTAGTTTCTTATGATAGTCCATCCTCTATCAATTGCAACTGTCAGTCTGTCATAAACAGAGAACTGTAGACTATTCAGTTTTAATTCTGGAAAGTTCAGCTTTCTAAACATACCTCAATCAACCATATAAGCACACATAAAGTAAATCAATTGCACCCATAACACATGAATTACTTGCACGACTGAAATGACCTGAAATTATCAAAATCATATCCAACACTAACCTCGCTCAAATTCAGAACTTGCCAAAATTGAAAGCCTTCCACAGGGACTTGGTCATCGAGGAGCAACAGTTATCATGCACTGAGATGATCTGCAATAATATGAATTTCATGAACAGAAATGATAAAAGTAGATGCACTACTATTCTAAAGTGCCATAAAGTTATAAACAAAATTACGAGCCATGTTTGTCTTATAATATAATCTTAACCACAACATGACATGCCTAGATGATAGTCTTAACTACAGCCTCATAAGTTGTTCATGCAATATTGTAGCATAAAAGAGTTACAGTGCTATCACATATCACATATTATCCTTGTATCACAAATGACTAATATATAGTGAAATGGGTCGCCTCGCCTTGTGGTTATGGTGAGAAACAGTCCGATACGGAAAATATTGAACCTATAAAAAATCAATTACCAGTTCTCTTCAGGCATGTGGCCAGCTCCTTCTGTCCTACCTCAATTTTTTTCCTGCAGGAGAGTGGCGAGTACGTATTGAGAGAATAATCAAGAAAACATTGCCTGCAGCAGACCCTGAACTATTGATCTCTATATTCAAAATAAATAGCACTAACTACCTGCATATACAATAACTATATACCCGCAAACACATATCCGGCATCATCTCCAATATTATACACATGACGAAACGAATTTTTATTTACCTTTTGTAGATAGAGATGCCCCTCGGTAATGAAGGGGAGAAAGGAGATGCGGCGGCGACAGACTGTCGATGACGGAGGCCGCAGCGGGACGGGGTGGTGGGAGGCCGGGATTCGGGATGTGGTGGAGACTGGCCAGGTGGTCGACGTTGATCCGGCGGCATAGGACTCGGTGGCGGCTCGTCCTCCACCGACACCCAGTCACCGTTGGGATCAGTGGAGGGCGAGCCGGCGGCGGGGATCGGTGGCAGATCGGATCACCACGGAAGGCGTCGGCGGCGACCTGGCCACGAGAGGACTTTGTGCGGCAGGGATCGGTGGAGCAGAACAGCGTGGAAGGCGTCGGCGGCGACGTGAATCCGGGCGGAGGACAAGCGATGGGGATCGGTGGAGGGCGAGCCGGCGGCGATGGCAGATCGGTGAGGCAGAGGACGGCGCCGCGGCTGATAGGGAGGGGAGCGCTGATGGCGGAGCGGTTTCCGGCGTCGCGCGTGCGGGAGCGGAATCTGGGAGAGGCGCGGTGGGAGAGCGAGAGAGAGGGAGACGGGCCGTGCGGTGCCGAGGGAGGGGGCATACGGCGATTGAGGGAGGTGGGAGGTGGGATCGATCCGCATCGTTGGGATTTCACCGAGATGATCTGAACCGTTCCATGAGGAATGAAAGAATGAGTGATGGGTGAAAGTATTTGTTGAACTAGGTAGATAGATAGATTTAGATGGGGGAAACATCATGTGTATTTCTATATTTATATACTAATATAAAAAGGAGGAGTTGCCTCCTTGCAATCCTGTAGGTGAAATCAAAGAAAACCAGGGCCCACGCATAGACACATCGAATCCCCATCCCCATCGCCACGGATTCCTCTGCCGTCCTCACCCCACTCCCTCTATCACCGCATGTCGCTTCCCCCTCAATCACTCTGACGATAGCTTCCTCCTCCCCTTGATCTCGCCCTCGATGACGCGCCACCTACACACGATTTCGCCTTCAACAAATTCACTCGGCCTCTTCCTCCGCTCGATCTCGCTTGCTGTCTCCTTCACCGCTACAAAGCCTTGTCGCCCGCCTCCATCGTTCTCTTGTGTCGCCGTCACCAGCAAGACCTTGCACCGCCGCCGTTGTGACCCTCGATCCACGCCGAGCTTCCGCCTCCAAGGCCACAGCGATCTCTTCTTCAGTTCTCAACTTACTACCGGGTGAAAGAAGCGATGTTGCTCTTTCTTTTCTGTAGATTTGCCTCCTCTGTGTACTAGCCTCATTCTCCTCAGGTAACATCCTCTCTATGTACTAGCTGCTTGATGGAATTCCCACATGAGAAAATTTTGTGTTTTCTATTTCAGGTTGCGTAGAGGAGTAAGGGAGAAATTTCAGAACTATGTACAAACATACTCCAATGATTTTGCTACCATATACCTGTTCAACTATTTACTAGCCATCATCCTTGTCATATGCACTATATGAGAAATAAGAGTATCCAACTCATCTTCTGGTCAGTGTTCACACACACTTTTTGGTTTTATTTTTTTACTTCTATCTATTCGTTTTTAATAATATGTGTATTAAATACATTTTTACTCAAATAAAATAATTTTAGAACTTCATTTCATTAACAGATCTAATATTTGTGTATGATGTTTGCAAGGACGAGAAACAATATTGAAGGAACTGCAAATTACTCTCAGATGATCTTTACAAGAATGGATGAAAATGATCACTTAGTGTTGGGTTCCAACAGTATGATCCACTTATACTCTGTAATCATGATGCATGTTTTCTGACATGTATGTCAAGTTTATGCACTCCAAATCCTGTCAGTGAACATCTAGAGAAGCTATTCAGTTTCATTGACAATAAAAAAGAGGTGGACCCGTCGTCAGACAAATTACAGGGTCCATTACTCTCCCCCAATCTCCCCCCGCAACATTTTCTGGTGGTGATATTCTGAGTTCATGTTTAACCAACAAATCAAGGCGCTTGCTTGGTCTAGAGTTCCACACCAATGGTTATAGTGGTTTTAGCGATGACCATGAATATTTAACTATTGCCTAACCGGTATACAGTCAGGGAGCCATGTCTTAGATCCATATGGTTAGCTCTTATTCTACTGCTCACTTTGCTTCTTGCCAAAGTAGTTTAACGGTGTTTTGGTTTTAGCCCTCTGTCCCTTGAACAAAATAAATTTTGTGCATCATGCTCTACAAGTTGGATTTTGAAATTTTTCTACCCAATTTTTTGCGAGTTTGATTGGTGCTAAATGGTTTTCTTTTGGTGGAACACAAACTTATCTCTGTTAGTAATGGCAAGTCAGCAAGGATGACCACCCGTATGGGATTTTTTAGACTGGTCATGACTAGGAATAATAAGTAAGGATATTGATGATATACTACCACTCAGTCTAGGAACTCATGGAGGTGCGTAATAGTTATGATTGTTACATATAGGCTAGCAGAATGGTATTTTTTGTTATTTTTCCATTAGAAATTTTCCACATACATGATTATGCTCAATCAAGTTGTTACATATTGTAGGATAATTAATGACAAAAATATGCTGAATCAAGTTGTTATCTCAGGTTGATTTCTCAGCAAAATTATGCTGCCTGAAGACAGATACTTTAGAGAAAGATTGAGAAATGAAGCTTGCACATGGTGACAATACTTAACTCTGAGATATTGTTTCACTTTCGCTCTAAATTAACATGATAATTCTAAAATAAATTATAGATGCAGCTGTTAATTTCATTTTAAAGTGCAGGAGCTAAAATCTTTTTTCCCCAGGTCAAGAAAGAACATGGACCTTAATGGTCAGGCATAATCCCAAAATAGTGATGTTAAAGATATTGCTGTTAAATTATAGAATTCTCTTATGCAAATGCCTATTTTCTAATCTGATCTTATGCCAAGAATCTTTGATGTTGGTGTTGTGGTCAAGTAAGGGGAAAAAGTGTAGCTTGAACCTCCCGATCTCAGCTATTTCTGACCTCTAAATTTAGGTAAAGGCCAACTGAATGAAGCAACAAGTCGACTACAAAATTTTCCAGGTCATTTCAGAAATTATACATTATTCTTAGAACCTTTGTTTTATGTGAACTGGAACTGTTGAATTGTACAAAATATATTTTGTTTTATGGTGCCTCTAGCTAAATATGGAGCTTAATTTCCTACACGGAGGGATCACTCACCTCCACCATATCGGTACGATAACATTTTGTAGTAAGATGGTTCATGTAATCTTGTATTTAGATGTGCTTGATTTTATAATTGTGGAAAGAACTAATTTGTAGCTTCAAATGCAATTGCTTCAGGTACAACAAAGCACTGCCATTTTATAATCTCTTTCGTTGTTCACATTTCAGGAGTTACATATAAGTATTTTCATTTGAGTATAAAAATATAATAATGTGTTGAGATGATGATTGTGTGGTGACTAGCTCTGATAATTGATAATTTTGTTTATGCTTTATACAATGTGCGTTTTTTTAGCACTGATCAACATGAGATTGTTCTACTGACCAGTTAACTTTTTTGCACGCTTAGTATTTATGTTGCATTGTTTATGCCTTGGATGTAAATGCAACAATTTGAAAAAAAACCTATATTGAAATACGTACGTAGGAAATGGCTACCGCATTTATTAATGTCAAAGCAGATAGTTGGAGATAAAGAATCATTTTTTATGACATGGTTTAAGTTATATATAGCTTTCCTCAAGGATATAATTTTAAATCATACCTATTGTTGGCAACTTTTTGTGACAAGTCGACAAGCACGATTGTAACACCTAAATGCCTTGCGGTGATATGGAGTCGCCAACCACCTCGATCTAGCCAAAGGGCCAAATCAAGATGGGTTTTGCAAAAAGAAAAGCTAAACCGGCTAGCGGAGCCGATTTAGAGATCAAAATCAGCCTCTAGGCCGATTTAGATCGATACGAGGATAACTACCCGTCTCGTGGGCAAAACGGAAGGTTTTTAGGACAAACCTACAAAGAGGTGTTGCACTCTCGCAGCGGCGGCGGACGGTTTACGGCGCAAACCGATAAAGATGGACTAAAACTAGGGTAAAATAGAAAACATAGTAAAAGAACTATTCAAGTAAATTGTATTCGGGGGTTTTACAATGAACCGGTCTTGTCCCTTAAATAGGGGTTGGTTTTGCCCTCTACAGGCCCTTCTCCACGTCCAACTCGGGATAGAAACCAAAGGAAACACGAAACATGCATTCCCGAGCAAGGAAACCCAAGACCCGACGAAAACAGACTCGGACTCGGACCCTGACGGTCTGACCCCCCACATACCTGCGGTCAGACCGGCCCTACTAGCTGGTCAGACCACCCACACACCTGTGGTCTGACCGGCCTTATGAAGGAAACCCGTCACTTTCCAAACAAATTGTCTTATCCTCCAACTGGTAGTGTCCACCATTTGTGGTGGTGCTTGAGAGGCAAGTTGATATCTATCATCAGATATCACGAAGAAGCAATTCATTGTTCGAAATAGACGACATTGAACATGGTCAAAAGTGCAAGTTGGTGGGATTGAATCCATTGGGTTAGAATGGCATGAAACTTGGACCTCATGAGAACTATGGACACTTCTGGAACTTCGACAACAGCTTTGGTTGCCCATGTACTATTGTTCATGTATTTACCATGTTCATAGCAATTGATTGAAAACAAGGATCATCATTTGAGGGTTTTTGTTTATTTATTGTTAGATCCTATGGAGTTACAAAATTATTTATGCAAAGTTGATTAATTGGATTGTTCAAGATTCAAATCTTATGGAATTTATTGTGTAAATTTGTATGCAAGAGGAACTGGTGTCCTTATAACAAGCGCATATATATTGCTTTAACTGGCAACTGGTGCACAGGTTTGGTTTTGTGGCATTTGCCATCTTTCCATATGTGCCAAAGATATGCATCTTGCCCTTCTGTTATTTTAATTTTTAGGTTTGTAAATAAAATTAGTTGGTTGGGTTAATGATTGTGTGTAAACTATAGGAAAAAAGCTACAGATCTTTCTTATCTTTTCATTTTCTAAAGCAATATTAAGCACTATGTTATGGGCAAAAGTTATAGCACCTAAACATTTTAGTATATATCTATAAAAAAAATCTCTAGGTGCAATATGTTCGGTTTAGTTCAAATATTGATCACAACGTGCATTGCATGTGCACGATTACTTGTGGACTTGTAAATTGGCAGAGTATTTGTAATTTGGCTCGGCTCTGTATAAATGGACCGTATAATATGGATATTGATTTTGGCTCTGTGTTTGGACTAGAAATATACTTGGACTGTAAATGTGGATGGGACGGTATGGTGTATATTGTATAATTGGTCATTTGGCTATAGGTCAACTCGTGTAATAGGACTGTACATTTATAATTGGGACTGTATGACTGGACGTTGTATTTGTGGTGGGACGGTGTGACTTGGACAGTGCTTTGGAAATGGGATTTGTGGTATGTATAGATATTCCGAGAATGCACGAGGGCAGAATAAATGGATTGCAACATGAGACTTTGTTTGGATGGATGCACCGTATTGCCAAATAGGAGTTTAGGGTTAACGCACGATAAATGAATTTATCGGTTGTTGTAGGATTATTTTGAGAGTGTTCGTACAAACGAACGACGGTAGCGAAGAAAGGATTTTAGGGACAACGCGTAGCATACAAATCCAATCGTCGCGGTAGGAATAGAATCGGAGATAATTGAATTGACGCATGATAAATAAATACGCCGATCGATTGTAGATAGTCAAGGGAGAGTGTTGGGTTTGAATTGATGGAGTGATTTTAAATAATCGCTGGGCGAGAGTTTGAGAGAGCAACAATATCGCGATAGGACAAAAAAGTTTTGGGTCATTGATTTATTTAGCATCGAAGCACATAACAAATTAGACCGCGAAGGTAAGAGAAGGTAAGGATGGAAAAAGAAAGGTATAGGAAAGGGTGTCCTTTCTAGAGATAGGGTTTAATCAAAATCTATGGCACAAATTCTAAACACACACAAATAAACAATAAATCCTAACATGCAAACTAGGCTATACCTGAGGGAAAATTAGACGTTGTGTGAGAAGGTCATATCTTTTGAAAATAGCCTATTATGAATTATATTTTGCAAATAGGGTTTTTAATAAATACTTTACTAATATATATTATTTTGTAATTAATTTTCCGAAGGCAAATTCCTTTTCAAAGGTTCGTATAAAATAGCCATAGCTATGTTTCTTTATTAAAAGGGTATTTATTTCAATATACTACCCATAGAGGGTTTTATCCAAAACGGTAACATGTATTTATGTGTAGCTTTATTTACAAAATAATTATGCTGAAGGGGTTCTAATAGAGAAGGGTTTTTATATATAGTTGGCATTTGCAAATGTTGAAATATTTCATAAATTTATTATTATATTTTATTAGTATAAAAAAGTTAGGGTTAACGCCATGCTACCGTATGCAAGGGGAAAGGAAACGCAATCGGAGTATGCTGTAAGTACAAGGGGGCAAATGCGAAATAAATACTAGGTCGGTCCAACCCCGAGGTTTCTTCTCCTCCGAGGCGAGGCGAGACTCCGATTCTAGCCTACCTCGCTCGCTCGCTCGCTCGCTCCGTCTTGTGGTCGCCGCCGCCACGAAGACCAAACCCTCGCAAATTGCAATCGAAGAAGAAGAAGAAGAAGAGGAGCCATGGATGGCGGCGGCGGCGGCAACTGGAGGCCCACCCAGGGGGCCGACCCCGCCGCCTCTGGGGGCATCGATCCCAACGCCCCGGCCCCCGCCCTCGCCGGCGGCGACTGGCGCTCCCAGCTCCAGTCGGAGGCCCGCAACAGGATCGTCAACAAGATGTAGGGCTTTCCCCCTCTCCCCCCACCCACTTCCCTTCCCTTCCCTTCCCCCAATTTTTCTTCTCTTCATCAACTATATAAAATAAAATAGAAGATCCATACATCGCATCATCCTTTTGTGCCTGTGGTCGATTCAATATGATGCAACTCTGATCCGATCTACTCCTACGTAGCTAGTTGTAATCTCATCATAATCTCCCCTTCCGTGCCCCTGTGTTTCTGTTATTTATTTATTATTATTTACTTTGTTAGTTAGGTCCAACTCCAATCCCTCCCCAACTATTTTCAGATTCTTATTAGCTTTGACATTCTTGTCTAGTTCACCTAGTCTACATATCCAATTGAACTCAATTTACATTTCATCAGACACAGTTATTACAGTATAGAGGTTTGCTTGGAAGATGCACCCCTTCTGTTCAAATGGATCTTCCCTTTGAGGGTCAGGGAACTATGATGGCAAGGCAAACTGTTTGTTGGAGAAACCGCCTACCTCTCTCGTTTATTTTACTTCGTTATGTTAGATCATGTATGTGCCACTCTCGCTCCGCGAGTCCTTTGTAGCTGTTGTCCACTTTTGGTCATAGCCACTATATTTGAGCGCGTAACTTGGGCTATGCCTACTCATTTGTCCAACATCTTGAATGGTAGACTGACACATTATGCCTTAGGTGACATTTCTCTTTTTTTTTTTGCACAAAACATCTCAAAAGCACTCTCTCTCTCTCTCTCTCTCTCTCTCGTTCTGCATGGGATATATTCGTCATTTACTTGCTTGTTGCAATCTGCGTACAGAATGGACACTCTGAAGAAGCATCTACCAGTATCAGTGCCTGAGGGGTTGAATGAACTTCAAAAGATAGCAGTGCGATTTGAAGAGAAAATCTATACTGCAGCCACCAGCCAGGTACACTTAGCCTCTTGCTAACTCATCGGGTTGATCCAATCTTTCAGTTGTGGGGCTCAAGCATGGCATTTGGGATCTTAGTAGAAGAAATCGATCGTCCAATGTTTGCAAATATGTCTGTTGATTTTGAAGTTTGTTAGAGTTTCGCCGTGAAGTATCCACATTTTCTTTTGAACCGATTGTAATATTTCGCACTTCCACCTAAATCAGATTATCCAAGGCTGCTGAAGCTTTTCCCCTTCCATTATCGGGGGAAAATCTCCTTTGCGCCTTGGATACAGGGACTAAGACTGATTCAGTCCTATGCTAGAGGTGTTGATGTCCCCACATTATTTTCATTGATAACATATCTCAATAGTAAATTAGTATTAATGAATTATAGAACTAAACAATATTTTTACCATGAGACTGGTTTCTCTCATTGGCCATGTTAAAAGTACAGGAGTTGTACCTTGAGTTCTGTAAGCCCATCATTCCATCTGTTCATGCTTGTATAAATCACCTGTAAAATATTCCCTTTATCCCAGATGAAACATCAAACAATGGTTTACTCCAGTCCTTCCTTTTGTGTTAGCGAGTATGTCATCATATATCCCACTTCATTTTGGTAAACATTTTTGTAGGAGCTTCTTTGGCTGGGTATAGGGATTCATAATCTCCAAATTCCAATTGTGTTCTCCTGTTCATACTTCATCAGGCTTATTCATGCCAAAGTAGTTTGCTGTATAGATAAGAATTTGTATAATTTAATTGATTGTATAAAAAAACGAAGCATATGTTTCAATTGTGCTAACCACCAGGACTTAGGGTGGCAAGTTATTTATTACAAAGCCAAATCTTACCATTGTATTCTTTTGTATCACCAGTCTGATTACTTGCGGAAGATTTCTCTAAAAATGCTCTCTATGGAGACAAAGACTCAACAGAATCCTGGAAACGCCCAAGTGATTCAAAACCAAAATCCCCCTGGCTCAGGTATCATATGAAGTATATTCAATATCCGATTCTGAAATACTGGAGTAATAGTAAGATATTCGCTGGTACCATATTTTGTTCACCGTAAAAGTCCTTGTATATATTTTTCATGATGTAACTATATTGCATGTGTGTTTACAAGCCCCATTTCTGAGAGGAAACCATCCAATGGAAGCTCTGCCACACTGGGTACAACAGTGCTCTCTCGTTTTAGCTTGTATCGGATAATGCTCAAGCAAGTAAATTAAGGCGAGATGCCTGTCAGTCGAAACCTCCAAACTTGTTGATTACTCGAACCTAATTAAGTAATTGCTAATCTTGATAGCAAACACACCATTTGGATGCTGGCCACGAATCCTTGCATGGTCATATTCAAAGCTTTTGGGCACCAACATCAAAACAGACGACCCCTTCAATCTGCTTGTTCTAGTAGAGGCTAGATCAGCCATGGCTTCCAAAGTAGAAAAGCAAAGCAAGGCTCACACCATCACGTCTGCTGCCAGCAGCCCAAAGACCAAAGATACACATAGCTTTCTAGCACTCATTCTCTCTCTTTTTAATCAAAGATTAGTATCATAGTCTAGCCCATTGGCAATACACAATCACTTCATCGATATAACCTCTCGCACTGGATTTCCTCTCCCTGACAACTCGGTAGCTCTTTGTTTATGTATTTAGAAAATGGGCTATCAAGTTGTATGGATTTGTATGTACTTGTTGTCCATCGTTAAGCTTGCCCAGGCTCAATTGGATCCACCACTGGATGGAGTTATATGTCTAAAAGTTCCCTAGCTAGTGTCAGTTTTGGTTTACATATCTTGTATTATTAACATATGCTGTCTAGTTATTTGCATGTGCTTCACTTTTTTGAACTGATTAGTTGTCCATGATCTATACACAACCTAGATGTTTAATTGATGCCATATGAGTATGAAATGACACATTTTAAATGATTGTCATTTTCCCCTGATAAGTGCTAACACATGTTATGTTAGTTATTTGCGTTTGCTTCTTCACATTATTTATGCTCATTTTTCTTTTGAAGGGGGATGTCTACTTTCCATAATTCATGATCTATAATACCTAAAGGTTCAATTAATGCCAATATACCATGAATAATTGCACATTATGAATCGTTGCACTGTTTAATTTATTCCCCCTGTTAAGTTTCATGTAACTTTGCTTTATGTTGGAGCCAGATTACACTTGTGTGACTACTGAGGTAAAATAATAGTTGGCTATTTTGAGTTATTGATGGAATTATGTTTATTCTCCTTCTGCTGCAACTTGTCAGAATTTATTTGCAGTTTCCTTCTTAGCCTTATCGAAAAACTAATTAATGGTTTTTTGTCTAAGCTACTTGCTAACCTCTTACTTGTTTTGGTACATGTGTGTTCCTTGGAAAATGTAGAATCTCGTCTCAAATATGTCTTTATCATGCTTATTTGGGGTGTTGTTATGCTTTTTACAATTTTGCAAGTATTGTCTACAAGGTATTTATGCACATTCACGATCTTTTCTGCAACAGTACCTGGACTCCCTCAAGGCAGTAATCCAACACAGTCATCAGCGATCCCTTTGATGTCTCAGCAACAGGCCCGGCAGCCAAATTCTACGTCTGTCCAATCTTCTCTTACTAATCTTGGTCAGAACTTGCCAGGTGTCAACCAGACATCCACACTGCAGAACATGTCTGGCATGCCGCAGAACACTATGAATAATGGCTTGGCACAAGGCGCTTCACAAGATATATATGCTACGCAAAGGCAAATGGCAGGAAGGCAGCAGCAGCAGCAACAATCTCAGAACCAATTAATTTACCAGCAGCAGCAAATTATGATGAAGCAGAAGTTGCAGCAAAATTCACTTATGCAACAGCAATCTTTGTTGCAGCCAACACAGATGCAATCCTCACAACAGCCAATGATGCAAATACCATCTAGCCTCCAACCCGGGCAGTCCATTCCGCAGACACAACCAATGGTACAGTCATCATCTCAGGGTGGTATTCAACAGAATGCTTTGAACTCGGTACCACAATCTGTGCAATCGTTACTCCAGCAACCTACACAATCTGCTATGAGGCAGCAGCAACACTCACAGTCCTCCATGCATCCACAGCCTTCTCTGCAGCAAGCTCAACCAACTCAGCAGCCTAACATTCCTTTGCAACATCAATTAATGGGCCAGCAGCAAAATTTACAACAAAATCAGTTAATTGGTCAGCAGAATGGTGCTGTGGATATGCCACAGCAACAGAGACTACCAGTTCAATCGAATAATCTTTTGAATATGCAGCAGACACAGCAGATGTTGAACCAGCAGTCTATGCCCTCGCACCAGCAGCAACAATTGGGCTCCCAGGCAAATATTTCAACTCTACAACAGCAGCAGCAACAAAATCAGCAGCAACAACAGCTTCTTGGAACTGTGCCTAATGTTCCGAACATTCAACGAATGCATATGCTACAAACAAAGGCAGTTCAGCAACCACAGCAGCAGCAGCATGCTCAGCAGTCATCACTGGGTTTGATGCAGCCTCAATCACAACATAACCAACTTCAGCAATCACAGCAGCATCTTATGTCACAATTCCAAGCTCAACCTAACCAGCTGCAGCAACAACTGGGAATGCCGCAGCAACCTCCCATGCAACAAAGGCTTCAAACGTCAGCTGGCATGCTCTTGCAACAAAATAACATTGATCAACAAAAGCAATTTATGCAGGCACAAAGGGGCCTTCAAGAAGTTTCGTCTAGCAGTAAGTTCTCCATATGCTGTCTATATAGTTGCATTTATTCTTTTATTGTTTCCCCCTGTTTTTTCGCTGTGTTATTGTTCCTTTATCCCTCTGTTTTATCCCTATTCATACTGACATTAGTTTTCTCCTACATTTATGCCAGCTTACAAATCCTAAATTTCATTAGTTAACTTAATAAATTGGAGATAGTAAGGATAACATTTGTCAGTTAGAGTCTATTGCAATGTACATTGATAACATGCTGACGAAGCTGACCCTAATGATTTTGTGCCTTCTGTTCAAATTTGTTTTTTCTGAGTTGTGGACATATTTGCCACAAAAGGCTATTTTCAGATTACTGTTTCAATCTGACCTCAAGTTCACTGTTGTATTTTTCTAGTAGGAATCACACAAGGTCTCCCACTTCTGTATTACATCCTATGTTGTAGTAGCAGCTTGCTACTTGATTGCTTGTTCATTGACATGATGTTTGATTTCCTTGCTTTTCATGCAGCATCTGTGGACTCCACTGCCCAAACAGGTCATACAGGTACAGGTACAGGAGATTGGCAAGAGGAGGCATATCAAATGGTAATGCATACCACTACCGTTTGGCGCTCGTTTGTTCACTTGGACCTTCCTAAAGAAATTCAGAGAAAAGGACCTCTGAACATTGTATTTGATGTTTAGAATAAGATTTGGTCAAACTTCTAAAATACTGACCATAAATAATTTCTCAAATGCTTAGTCTTAAACAAAATAAATGGTATAGGTAAATTTGCTTCAAAAAGTACTATCATAAAATCATATACTTATAAACTTATTCTAATATAAAATTGATAGTCGAAATCTAAAAGGTCTGACCGAATCTTGTTGTGACATCAAATATTTGACCGGAGAGAGTAATATTCTCCCGCTATCCTTTTTCATTGTTGTTTTGATCTGTTTTCCACCAACTAAACAATAAACAGTTCCCAATTGATTGCATGTCCTTTTTTCTCTCGAGACATCTGGAACGAATTCGACACTGCATTTTTTTTTCAGATCTGTACAATTTTATGTGTAACTCATTTTGTTCTTAATCTTTTAACCATTGAAGTATGGTGAAATCAATAATTGGACATGTGTAGCCAAAGAAACAAGAATGTTATCTTTTACTGATAAAGGTGGAACTGATATTCATACAACTATGCACATGCATGCTTTCTTTAAGATAGAGGATTCTTTGTGAATGTGGACTGTATAGCATATTGTATCTAGATGTGATAAGGTTATGATGCAGTTTGTAATCCCTTTCTCTTGACCTTGCAAGTTCAATCAACACCATGTTTTCTACTGGTTATTATAGTTTTTTCTTTAAGTTCCCTATGCATGTAATAACTATTCGAACAATCTTTGCCTGCACCATATCTGTTAGTTAAACAACAGGCCTTGGTTTACTGAATGGTTTCTTTTCTGTAGTATCCATCCCTTCATAGCTTTTGTGTTTTTCTTTCTTGTGATCACAGGTGAAGAACTTAAAGGACCAATATTTTCCTGAATTAAATGATTTGTACAATAAGATCTCTTTGAAGCTACAGCATGTTGACAACATGGTTCCACCTCAAAAGCCAACAGAACAGTATGAAAAGATGAAGAATTTCAAACTGATGTTGGAGCGTACAATGCATGTTCTGCAATTGAACAAGGGCAACATTCAGCCTGCCCTTAGGGACAAAATTCCTGCGTACGAGAGGCAAATTATCAGTATCCTAAATTCGCAAAAGAGGCCAAGGGTGCAAGGCCAGCAGACACAATTTCAACAATCTGCTGGGCAAGGTCCTACCTCTAACATTCCGCAACAACAACAACCTTCCCAAGGTTTGCAGCAGCATGATAACCATACTAATCAGATGCCTCAAGCAAGCATGCCAAGTATGAGCACCGGATTACAATCCTCAGGTGCAGCTGGTATCCAACATTTACCTGCATCCCCAGCAACAAACTTTGGTGTTCCAGCAACACAGCAAAATGTCACAAATGCACCACAGGCTACCTCTAATTTGGAGGTTACTCAAGGAAGCAATTTTAATTCTTTGCAGCATGGTTCAATGAGTGGTGCTTTGCAACAGGGAAGCACTGGGCCCATGCAGGGTACACTGAATGCACAACAGCAGGCCAGTAGTAGCATGTTATCTCACAACTCAGTAGGTACAATGCAGGCTAATGCCAATTCCATGCAAGCCAACGCAAATTCATTACAGCAGCTGAAGCAGCAACAGCAGGAGCATCATATGATGCAGAATCAGCAAATGAAGCGTCAAATGTTTCAGCAGTTCCAGCAAAAACAAATGCTTCAGCAGCAACTCCCAGCACAGCAACAATTACAGAAACAGCAGCAATCACAGATGCAGGTTCCACAGCATCATTCTGGAAATGATGCAAACGAGCTGAAGGTTAGACAAGGAGCTGCAATGAAACCTGGGATTTATCAACAGCACTTGGCTCAGCGCAATAACTTTTATAATCAGCAAATGAAACAGGGCAGTGCTTTCCCAATTTCGTCACCACAAAACCTCCAAGCATCATCCCCCCAAATTTCACACCATTCTCCTCAGGTTGATCAGCACAATCTCTTGCCGTCTCAAGTGAAGACCGGGACACCATTGCAGTCAGCTAACTCACCATATATGCCATCTCCATCGCCACCTGTTGCCCCGTCTCCTATACCAGTGGATTCAGAGAAACCACTCTCCAATTTATCATCATCACTTACTAATACTGGTCAGGCTACACATCAGCAAACAAACATGGCGCCTCAGTCACAATCAATCGCCGTTAACACTCCAGGGATCTCGGCCTCACCCTTGTTGGCAGAATTTACAAGTGTTGATGGAAATCAGGCTAACATGCCAACCCAAGTTCTAACCAAATCAAGTGCAGCAGAAAGGCCTTTAGACCGCTTACTTAAAGCGGTCAGTAACTTTGCCAACTTTTTATTTACTGTCTTTTCTTCGTTTCTGTAGTGCAAAATAAATTTATTATTTAATCAGTGCTATTCTGAGTATATTTTAAAGCGTAATTAACTATGGCATAAAGAACACAGTAGGCTCAGCTAAAATATTTAGTTCAGGAGTTATATATGCCATGCCTTTTGCTTGTAACCTCGTGCACCTACCTTGCTAAAGTTAATACAAACATTACCCTGTTTCAATCAACTAGTTTATCAAACGATAACTAAAATGATGCCCAAAGGTTGCAGCAGATCTCAGATAAGTATATCGTAAATTCTGAACTTGATAATTATGTCAAAAAGGGATACTATGCTAAAATCCCAGTCACATGCACATATGCGTGTGCTAAGGGATTATGCAAATAACACACATGTTAGATCTGTACACAAATATTTTGAAGTCAAGGGGATGCAAAGCATGGGAGTCATCATGCCTGGTCATTTCATGTTACTGCTTATTTAAAGTTGACTCTTTGAGTCTTGACATCTGAAGAACTTGATAGGTTTAGCATTGACCTATTTTATTTATTTCTCTTCACTATTGCTCTGTGGAATCTAGCTATGTTTTCCGGATAGCCTGTTTTGCTGCTGTGCTAAAAGAGAAGAAATCATTAATACCTTTTATTCCCCTCAAATTAGCTTCCTTAAACAAATTTTGATCATATAGAAGGCATATACCCTCCCTTTAGATTGAAATTGAGGATTTACCTTCCTGTCCCTTTTTTTTTCTTGCATGATTCATGTCCCTTGTGTTCTGTATGGCAGTTGCGGACAACACAACGCCAGTCCTTGAGTGCTGCAGTAAGCGACATAGGTTCTGTTGTCAGCATGATTGACAGGATTGCTGGGTCTGCGCCTGGTAATGGTTCTAGAGCTGCTGTTGGTGAAGATTTAGTTGCTATGACAAAGTGCCGATTGCAAGCCAGGAATTTCATAACACATGATGGGACCGGTACATCAAAGAAAATGAAGCGTGACACTAGTGCTATGCCTCTTAATGTGTCATCAGCTGGAAGTGTTAATGACAGTTTGAAGCAAACATTCAGCATAGGTACCCCTGAATTGCAGTCAACTGCAACCTCACGTGTAAAGTGGCAAAAAACCGAGGTATGCTCTTTATTATTTCATAGGGATCAATACATTATATGCCTCAGTGATCAGCTTCACAATCGTTTGTATAGATGAAACTTAGTGGCATGATGAATAAACTAAAATATCATGATTATCCAGCTGTTTTGTTTCCACAATGACTTCCATTACATATATGGGCCCAGAGAAGGGAAGTATAGTTAAATTGACGGGAGCTATTCTAAATTTTTGGCTACCTTTATTATTTATCTTGTCTCTGGTGCACCTGCAGATAAACCATGCTCTTATGGAGGAAATACATGAGATAAACCAACAGCTCATAGATACAGAGCTCCATGTTTGCGAGGATGATGCTGAGTCTTTTGGTGCTACATCAGAAGGGACAGAAGGGACAGTCATCAAATGCACATTTACTGCTGTGGCTGTTAGCCCCAGCTTGAAGTCCATGTTTGCATCAGCACAGATGGTAAGCTTCTCAAAGCATGATCTGTGGTATCGGCTTTTATTGTTCGCTGATGTTCCATGTTAAAAATGTGTGGCAGAGTCCAATTTTGCCATTGAGGGTGCTTGTCCCCGCTAGCTACCCTAAGTGCTCCCCGGTTCTCCTAGACAAGTTCCCAGATGAACAAAGGTCAGTATCCAATGTTTTATCAGATTCTACGCCAGGTACTACATATTAGGCTGTCCTGATTCTCTGTACATAAATAAACTAAGGATGTTGCATTGTGCTTGTGAATCTGCTATAGAAACTCGGATGACCTGTCGACCAAAGCGAGGTCGAAGTTCAGCATATTGCTTCGGGGTTTAGCTGAGCCCATGTCACTAAGAGAAATTGCGAGGACGTGGGACGCGTGTGCCCGCAAAGTAATTGCTGAGTATGCTCAACAGACTGGTGGAGGCAGTTTCAGTTCGAGCTATGGTTGTTGGGAAAATTGCGTGGGTGCTTAATCCCCATTCTTCTTCAGTCCTGCTGGCACCAATCTTCGTTTTGCATCGATATTGTGCGATCGCTTGCACGCCCTTAACTGGAACGGTTAATGCATCGCTCTATAAATATATGCACATAAATATATGTAACCATAATTAACATTTTAGCAAACATGCAATTGCTACTGGTGTGTACTTATTTATTATGTGTGGTTGTACTTTTGGAAATCCTCCCTGTTTACTAGCTGGATTTGGTAGCGGCCCCTCTTGTACAGAACAGTCTACATCTCCAGCCTGGTTTGATTCTAATATAAATATACTGTGAGATCGCTGCTCGTAATATATGTTGTGTATTGACAACAGTTGAAGGACGTGTGATTTTCTGAGATGTGCTGAGACCAGTTTCGTCGGACGTTTTCTCTTTTCTTGTGTGTTCTTTTCATATGCGGAATGGCGGTAATCAATGAGCATGTACAGAATATAAGAAGATCAAGCTAGGGAAGTATTTGACATTTTTAGCTTGGTTGCTAAGGGTGTGTTTAGTTCCCGCTAAAATTGAAAGTTTAATTGAAATTGGAACGATGTGACGGAAAAGTTGGAAGTTTTATGTGTGTAGGAAAGTTTTGGTTCGATGGAAAAGTTAGAAGTTTAAAGAAAAAGTTGGGAACTAAACCAGACCTAAGTATGATCGCGAGAGCAAGTGACATTCACTTGGTTCAGTTACGGAAAATTTTATCCAATTTGGGACTTGTAATTCAGATTGTGTTTCTGCCTGCAAGGAGTGCCAGCGCTCATTATGTTATAGCACACGGTGACGTTACAACAGGTAATCGTTTGATCAGGTACAGTACAGTACAGAGAGGGCGTGTTAACAGGTCCAGTACTGGTTGCATAAAACATATAATGGTAACAATAGTATATATGTAGGTCTAGATGGGGATACAATAATGGTAACAATACTAGAGGTGGAGAAGAAGCATTTCCTTGGCTACGAAATGTGATGACATGATGGATCTTGGATTTGATGTTGGGTACAACAGGCACCTGCGACTGAGAGATGAGAAGGAACAACATGTAAACGCACAGTAATATGTACTGTAAGCATGATACTTGTACGCTAAATTAATTAAGCTGAGATGACAGATACAAGAAAATGAGCTAAGTACTCTAGGAGACATGTATGGTAGTAACAAGGCAAACCAGCTGCTATTAGTTGTTAAGCTTAGCTTGGCCGGAGAAAACTGCATATATGTAGTGTAGGTCCTAGCAATTGCACTGCGATTGTGCGGAGGTGTAGTACGTAGTAGTAGGGTAGAGAGTTGATGGAGTAATTTTTATTAATTGGCACACAGTAATTCAGTAAATCGTTGGATCGAGTAGCTATAGTAATACTAGAAATTGAATGGATCGATTCATTCGATGTGAAGTAAGATACTTACTGGGGAGGGGAGGGGAGGGGAGGGGAGAGGAGAGGAGAGGAGAGGAGGTCAGGCGAGGTCTTGGTCGTCGAAGTCGTCGGGGAAGGAATTGAAGAAGTCGGCATCGATGGGAAGGGAGGAGGAGGGCGGGTGGCGGTCGTCGGCGTCGACCTCCATCATGCCCATGCCCACGGCGGAGGCGGCCTCCGACTCCATCTCCCCCGGTGAGTCCTCCCACTCGTTCACGCCGCCCGGCGAGCTCATCTCGATGACTCGATTAATCCAACCACTTTTGGAATCTTGGATTGGATGATTGGATTTCCGATCCCCAATCTCCTCCTCCTCGCTTTGCCTCCTCCACTTCAACAACGACTTGTAGTTGTAGGTAGGGAGGGAGGGTACACCACAGCAGAGGCCACCAGCCGGCGTCGGCATCCAACTCCAAATGCTTTTCTTCCTTTCTGGCCTTTGTGTGTCCAATATTAATTGCTAGTGGACTCGACTAGACGTGAGGCCCATTTGTTGGCAAGTTTCTTCCCTTGTCTCTCTCTTGTGAGACGAATCTTTTAAACCTAATTGCTACATGATCTGATAATATGGTGCTATATTTAATATTTACTAATGACAGATTAATTAGACTTAATAAATTTATCTCATGGTTTACTGATGGATTCTATAATTAGTTTTTTTATTAGTGTCCGAACACCCCATACGACACGCTATATAATATTCGCTGCGACACGCCAAAACTTTATGACTCTGGATTTGAACACCACCTAAGTTGCCTCTTACTCCTAGTATTAATATCCAAAATACTGTATCAAACACACCAAATAAGCAAGTGGATGGTGGTGGTGGTGGGGCATCGGAGACATACAGTACACGTGCATTTCCCCAAGGAGAAAAGGAGGGCAGAGATGGAGTGAGTGGCTTTGACTTACGACGATATAGCACTAGCAGTACTCGTACTCCTAAATTTGTGTTGGTTTGTTGGACTATCTATGTGTGTAGTGCATGTGCGCGTGCAAGCCGCATTTTTGAAAGGAATTAATGTGTTTTTCTATAAAAAGAAAAGGAGAAAAGAAAGAATGAAGTTGCTTTAATTGATGAAGTTGTCTTGTGGGGTAGCAGCACTTTGAAGTGGTCGCTGTTCCCATTGGTGTATGTCGGTCGGAGCGGAAGACAATGCTTGATGGCCATGTGACAGTAGAGTATATAAGATGCCAGTCGTAAGATGTTACTACTCGTACGTAGACACACGGAGTATGGCAAGCAATGCAAAAATGTCCATTGGTTAGCAAGACTAGTGCTAGTGTAGTATAGTCTGTGGAGGAGTATTGACACCCCTTTATTATTTGCATTGCACTACTCACACTCAGCAAGCATTGTCTTTCACTTGAGTAGTACTAGGAGTGGTGCTCACTTGCACACTATTTCACTCCACTGCTCCAGTCCACAGTCCAGTGTGTTCACCTGCTCTACCCCAAGCCCAAGGGAATTGAAGCAAGCAGATGAGATGAGATCTGTGATGATGTGCTGCCTCCTCCTCCTCCTGGTCTCTGCCGCTGCCGGGGCCGAGGGCAAGTCGGAGGTGGCGCTCCTCCTGGAGCGCGTGAAGCCGGCGCTGCAGGGGGAGGGCGAAGTAGGAGGGAACGCGCAGCTGGCCACCTGGACCGCCTCCACCCCGCTCTGCCAGTGGCGCGGCCTCCGCTGGTCCACCGCCGCCACCCTCCCCCGCGAGCTCCCCTGCGGCAACCTCTCTGCAGGCCTCGCCCACCACCCGGTCCCGGACGACCTCCTCCTCCTCCTCTCCATCCGCCTCCCGGCCTCCGCCCTCGCCGGCCACCTCCCTCCCGAACTCGCCGCTTTCTCCGCCCTCGCCTCCATCTTCCTCGCCCACAACTCCCTCTCCGGGCCCATCCCCCTCGCCCTCGGCAACGCCCCCGCCCTCTCCCTCCTCGACCTCGCCTCCAACCGCCTCTCCGGCTCCCTCCCGCTCTCCATCTGGAACCTCTGCAGCGGCAACGCCCGTCTCTCCCTCCTCCGCCTCCACGGCAACGCCCTCCACGGCCCAATCCCCGACCCCGCCGCCCTCGCCCCCAACACCACCTGCGACGCCCTCAGCCTCCTCGACCTCTCCGCCAACCGCCTCTCCGGCCCCTTCCCCTCCTCCCTAGTCACCACCGCCTTCCCCGCCCTCCGCTCCCTCGACCTCTCCGACAACCGCCTCCACGGTCCCATCCCGCACGGCCTCGCCCCCATCCACTCCCTCAACCTCTCCTACAACAACTTCTCCGGCCAACTTCCCCCCGACCTCGCCTCTCTGCCGCCCGACGCCTTCCTCGCCAACAGCCCCGCGCTCTGCGGCCCGCCGCTGCCCCACCACTGCCTCCCCAGCAACCCCCTCACCTCCTCCGCCGTCGCCGCCATCGTCATTGCCCTCATGGCCGCCGCCGTCGTCCTGGCTTCCCTCTCCATCGGCTGGGCGCAGGGCCGTTGGAGGCGAGCGCCTTTGCCGCCGGAGGAAGGGACACTCACGGAGGACGGCGAGGGGAAGCTGGTGGTGTTCCAGGGCGGGGAGCACCTCACGCTGGAGGAGGTGCTCAACGCCACGGGGCAGGTGGTCAACAAGGCCAGCTACTGCACCGTCTACAAGGCCAAGCTGGCGGAGGGCGGCGGCAGCATCGAGCTGCGCCTCCTCCGCGAGGGCTGCTGCAAGGACGCCGAGTCGTGCGCGCCGGCGGTGCGCCGCATCGGCCGCGCGCGCCACGACAACCTGGTTCCGCTGCGCGCCTTCTACCAGGGGCGCCGCGGAGAGAAGCTGCTGGTGTACGACTACTTCCCCGGCAACCGGACGCTCCACGAGCTCCTCCACGGCCACGGGGAGCAGAGCCAGGGGATGAGGCCGGCGTTGACGTGGGCGCGGCGGCACAAGATCGCGCTGGGCGTGGCGCGCGCGCTGGCGTACGTGCACGCGGGGCACGGCGAGGCGCACGGCAGCGTGCGCTCGTCCAACGTGCTGGTGGACGAGTGGTTCGTGGCGAGGGTGGCGGAGTACGCAGTGCACCGGCTGCTGGTGGCGGCGGCGGTGGGGAAGGCGGACGGGTACAGGGCGCCGGAGCTGCAGTCGAGGGGGAGGTGCAGCCCGCGGACGGACGTGTACGCGTTCGGGATATTGCTGCTGGAGCTGCTGATGGGGCGGAAGGCGTCGGGAGAGCTGCCGGCGGTGGTGAAGGCGGCGGTGCTGGAGGAGGTGACGATGATGGAGGTGTTCGACGCGGAGGTGGCGCGCGGGGTGCGTAGCCCCGCGGAGGAGGGGCTGCTTCAGGCGCTGAAGCTGGCGATGGGGTGCTGCGCGCCGGTGGCTTCGGCAAGGCCCACCATGGCGGAGGTGGTGCGGCAGCTGGAGGAGGTCCGGCCCCGGAACAGCAGCCGGCCGTCGGCGATCTACAGCCCCGCCGAGCCCAGGAGCGACGCCGGCACGCCCACCGCCGCCGCCGTCTAATTCCAATATAATGTCGTCCCGACTCCGACCGTACATAACATACTCCAGTCCAGCTGGCCGGAGTATCATATCATATGCGTGCAGTGCAGTGCAGGCGTCCAGCACTCCAGCTACATAATCCTACGTACTACTACTAGTAGTAGCTGCTCCTACGTACTCCGTACTCTACTGTACGGAGTACTACTAGTAGATTTTCCTTTTCTCAACGCCTGTCTGCCTGCCCAAATATTAATCCTCTCTTCCTAAAAACATGACTCCAGTCCCCTACAAAAGGATGATCACTGCACTGATTTGGATATCTGGGCAAACACAGCCTTTTGCCCATTTGCATTGCATATGCTTGGTTTCATTAGTTTTAGGTCCTGTTTAGTTCGCGAAAAGAAAATTTTTAAGCGTCATATCGGATATTTAACCGGATGTCGGAAGGGGTTTTCGGACACGAATAAAAAAACTAATTTCATAATTCGTCTGGAAACCGCAAGACGAATCTTTTGAACCTAATTAATCCGTCATTAGCACATATGGGTTATTGTAGCACTTATGGCTCAAAAGATTCGTCTCGCGATTTCCCCCTAACTATGCAATTAGTTTTTTTAATCTCTATACATATGTCTAAATATTTTATGTGATGTTTTTTTTGAAAAAAAAATGGAAACTAAACCAGGCCTTATAATGAAATATAGTAGTATGTCAGGTCCTTCAAATTACATTCTGGTATTTGATCGTATACGACTATCTATGTGATGCTCCACGTTAGCACACATTTTACATACGCCTCCTGGATAGGGGGTGAAAACGGTACAGAAACGGACGGAAACCATCTTTATCGTTTTCGTTTTCATATTTTTTTTCGGAATCAGAATCAGAATCAGAAACCCCGGATATGAAAATAGAATTGAATATTATCGAAACTGAAAACGAAGCAAAAACGGCGCGAATACGGTAACGAAAATTTATCAGAATAAAAAACCCCTCAAACTGATAAATCCAATTGAATAAATTATCTATGTTTAAAAGAGTAATGTTGTTGATAAATCCCAATGTAGGACAAAAAATATTCTTATGTAATTTTAGATTTGCATAACAAATATTTTTTTAAAAAAAACAGCCAAACACCATGGTATTCACTATTTAGTGCTTAAAAAAGAATCATGGTATTTCAGTCACAACATTTCTGGTAATTCTGAGAAAATTTTCTGAAATTTCGAGAAAATTTCCGAAAAGTTTTCGACCGATTCCGAGTTCCGACGGAAATTGCCCTTATCATTTCCGATTTCATTTCTGAGAAAATATTTTCGAATTCGTTTCCGATTCCGAAAAATTCCGACCGACAGATTCTGTTTTCGAAAATAGGTCCGAAATCCAGAAAGTTTCCGTACCGTTTTCACCCCTACCCCTGGATCTCGCACTTCCGCAGCATATACAAATGCATTTCCCTCCTTCCCGCTGCAAGATGTACCCCAGTACTCCCTCCGTCTCCTAATACAATGGATTTTGACATTTTGCTTACACTGTTTGACCATTCGTCTTATTCAAAAAATTTTGAAATTATTATTTAATTTATTTGTGACTTACTTTATTATCCAAAGTACTTTAAGCACAACTTTTCGTTTTTCATATTTGCACAAAATTTTTGAATAAGACGAGTGGTCAAACAGTGCAAGCAAAATGTCAAAATTCCTTATATTAGGGGTTGGATGGAGTACTAACAAAGCCAAACACAAGGTCCTAGGACTGCTAATTGCTTGTCCCTCCATCCTATTTTGATCATCCTCTTAAAATTTTAAGATGTCTTCCCAAAATGATCATCATCCTAACATGTATATCTTTGTTTATTTGTGTAAGGAATTAATGTGCATCTTTAAATGTGTTGCATACAACCAAACAAGATTAATTTCTGTTGATGTAATGACATACAATATTTAAAACATGAGCTATTCACAGTATACTAAGCGATGAAGCATCTTAACTGATGGGAATTAATCTGAGAATAATGAATGTTTTGGCCGTGTCGTTGGCCTTGGTACCCTTTGCTTGGGTGTGTTTGGTTCTAAGACTAGGTGGGATGGGATGAAACCATCCCTGATTTTGAGGCTGGGATGATTCCACTCGCGTGTTTGGTTTGTAGAATAGGACGATCCCATTTTTTTGTTTGGTTGAAGGGATGAGGGAGGGATGGGATGGACGCTGTTTGCCACCAATGGCGACGCCGTTTGCAACAACCATAGCCGCCGCCGCCTCTGCCCTCACCTCCATCTCTGCCACCGAGGTGCGCCATGCCGCCGGACAGGAGGAAGCTACTGGTCTGGGGCACCGACAGGCCGGCGCGGTCGCGAAGGGACGCAATGCGGCGGGTGATGGCCTCGGCCTTCGCGCAGAGCAGCTGTGGCTTGGCGACGACGACGGTGGCGAGGTCCGCACGGGAGAGGGAGAGGGACAGGCCGGCGCGGTCGCGGAGGGACGCGATGCGGCGGCTGATGGCGTCGTCCTTCGCGCAGAGCACCCGCGGCTCGGCGACGACGACGGCAGCGAGGTCCGCACATAGGCCGGTGGAGAGGAGGGCGAGCACGGCATCAGGGTTGGAGCACGGAGTTGAGGCGGGAGAGCTTCGGGGACGACGACGGACGGTCGGGCCGCCTCCGGATCCGTCGGCGCAGCCCTCCCCATCGTCGGATCCGCCGCCGCCGCCTTCCCCACCACAGGATCCGGTGCCGCTGAGCCCCCCGACGCCGCCGCTGCCGAGCCTGTCGCCACCGCCGTCGCCTGAGCCGTCTTCCGGATCCGTTGGCGCAGCCCTCCCAATTGTCGGATCCACCGCCGCCGCCTTCCCCACCATAGGATCCGGCGTCGCCGAGCCACTCGACGCCGCCGCTGCCGAGCCTGCCGCCTACCTCCGTCGCCCGAGCCTGTCGCCACTGCCGTTGCCGAGCCTGTCGCGCCGCCTTCGACAAGCCCGCCACTGTCGCCCAAGCTGTCTTCCGCCGCCATCTCCTAAGGGTGAGCAGGGCAAGCGCACGAGCTGGCGTCGTCACGCCGTTCGCTCATTCCAGGTGGGACGAGTTTGTCCGCCAGTTTTGGCCGGATTAGTTGGTCCCGGATCTGATAGGAATATTCCTCTCTAGGGACCAACCCATCCCACTCACCCCTAAACCAAATACTCCTAAAAGTACGTTCATCCCATCCCATCCCATCCCATCTCAGCAACCAAACACTAGGGGATGATTAAAATGGAACTGGGGAGTACTACTATAGTAGAATGGAGCCCCCGAGATGGATTGACCCAAGATAAAGGTGCAGCTTCCCAAAGCAGATTGCTACAAGTGCACATCAATCTCCCAAAGAAAGATATTAGGACAACAATGTATACCATCCAAAAGTTTAAGACCTACTATGTATGAGGTAATCAAGTGGATCCAATAAACACAAAAAATCTAACAATGCGCGGCGGAATTGATAGAAAGGAGAGAGTCACATATAGGTGAGAAAATAATGTTTTTATTCCTTACTACCAAGTTGTAGGGCAATTGGTGGTTGTTATTTCCTACTTCCACAATATTTACTACAATATAAGGGTTGCATTTATTGTTTACAATTTGGTTCGGAGCACACTACTCTTAGAGCAAGGATAATAATACAACCAGCTGCTTACTGTATAGTTCTTTATAGCCTATCTCTCAGCTTACTCATGTAGTGGTTTACTCTTCACTATAAATATATGGTCCACATGTCTGTCTCACAGATTTTTTTTTGGTTCATGTGCCTAAGCTGGCTGTAGGGATGGCAATGGGGCTACACCCGTCGGGTTTCACTACCCCGTCCCCGCCCCCGAGGTGATGAAATTCCCCCGTTCGCCATCCCCATCCCCGTGCTCAGGGGAAGGTTTCTCACTGTCCCCGTCCCAGCAGCGGGTACGGGGCACCCGCGGGTCCTAGCACCCGACAAACAAACACCAATATACATAGAACAATTGAGCAGGAACAGATGATACAGAGTTTACAAATACAGTTCACACCAATGAAAGGAAGCAAGGGTGAAGAACTTCAAAATCCAATGTAGATGTACAATAGAAACAGAAACTTGATGCACCAGTGAATACGAGTGGCGCACACACTAAAGCAATAGATAAGTACTACATGTTGATGCTTCAAAATCAGATCGAGTTAATGCCGTGCAGGTAGCTTGCGTCTCGCGACGGCATCATCGCTCCTGGTCAGCAAGAGCAGAGAAAATGAGGGCGACGCCGCTGTGAGTCACTGGGGGTGGAGGTGGAGCAGGAGAGGGCGCCGCCGCGGGGAGCCAAGGCCGCCATGGCTCCAGTCACAAACTGACGACGGCGCTGCAATAGCGATGGCAAAGAGGCGGGCTAGACCGGCGAACTAGTGAAAATAGAGGAAAGGGGATCGGCGAATCTAGAAAAATGCGAAGGGGATCGGGACTTCTCTCCGTGCGAGTGCGACCATGCCTGCGAGCGGCGGCCAAGAGGAAGTGGGGACGGGATTGAAAAGTTAGGGTTTCTCTATATATATTGCTTCTAATTGGGCCTAAATGGACTGTAACCTAAGGAATTTGCTGATGGGCCGTCATATCTTGGAGCCCCATGGGGATACGGGGCCGGGGAGTGGTGGAACGGCCCCGCCCCCGGCCCACCCGATGGGGCCTGCTTTTGGCCATTTGTTACCCCGTGGGGGATGAATTTACCCCGATAGCTCACCCTAATAGAGGAATTCCCCACCGGAGAACGGGGAACGGGGCCCCATTGCCATCCCTAGCTGTCTGTAAACTTGCAGCCGCTTCTCATCTCTCTCCTCTCCTCTCTCATCCACCTCAGCATTCAGCCTTCTTATAGCCATCTATTATACTTGCTCTTAGTGATAAAATATAGGGTAGTACTACTTCTGCAATATAGGGTAACTATAGTGAGATCAACTCTAATAGAGTTGCTAGATAGCTTTATTCCAAGTTAAATTTCAGCAATTTTGATCAAAATACAAGCTCCAACCCAGATGGCTTGTATGGCTAGCCTGGATACTAGCCAAATTTGGCCATGCTATTTGGTTGGCCATTTTGTGGGCCCCACCATGAATCTCTCCTCATCCCCCTCTCTCTCCCGCATCTTTCCCGTTGTGGCCTCCCCATTCATCGCTATCGCCGACATCTGTCGTCGCCTTTACCACCATCCTTCGTGTCTTCCCCATCATCGTCTTCCCCGCCCCTGAAGGGGTTGTGCCCGCGTGTCCGAGTCCATCGACAACGGCAGTGTGCCGGTCCCTACGCTACCCCCTCCGACGGTAGTTGAGGATCTTGTCGCCCTACTGGGCTTCCAAGCGCTCCCCTCTCTTTCCCTATCCTCCTGAACCACCTCCCATGCTTGCCTCCATTGTCGTTGCCTCATCCGACGCTGCCCCCTTGGTCGCGCATTCAAGGCCGCGCCGATGGAGCAGGCGAGACACTACACGGGACTGGTGCAATCGCTCGTCGCCCGCGGTGGTGAACAACGCACTCTACAACCTCGTGGGCACCTACCCCAAGAGCCGTGCGCCTTATCACCGTCGACGTCGCTTCCCGCGCACCGATGGGTGGGTGGGGAAAACAAGAGAGAAGAAGAGAGGTGCTGAGAAACTGACATGCGAAGCTAGTAAAATTTGAAGAGTGGTAGATAGAGAGACTATTGGATCTAACAACAAATATGGAGAGGATTCTTTTTGGATAGCTTCCCAAATGGACAAATAGAGAGTAAGATTTGCCACTATGTTGGAGATGTTTTGATAAAGTACATATGTAGTACTATAAGTGTAGTGTGGTTGAAATCAAATTCGCATTAGGTTCTTCTTGTCAATTTCTATGGATTACTGTGTGTACTATCTATTTTCTTATATACAAGTTGCATTGGGTACATCATACATTGAGTGTCTTTGAATGGTGAATTTGTAAGCATCAACAGTAGTCCAGCAGAGCTTGATATGTGAAAAGGATTTAAGATTCATAACTAAATGAACAAAAAGTATGCTAAGATGGACACATAAATCACGTTGAAGCTAACTAATGCCGAAATATCTAAGAGGCTACACTACTTAAAAAAGGGCCAAAGGTGTCGGTTCCTAACAGGCCATAGGTGCCGATTTTTCATCCGGCACCAATTGGTCGGCACCAATACTAGCAACCGACACCTATATGGAAAATAGAACCGGCACCTTTAGCATTGCTCAGGCCAAAAAAAAAAGAGCCAGCTCGAATCCAAGCCGAACTTACCCAGTGCCGTCACCGCGCATGCGCCCATCTCAAAATCAAATTGATATCCCCAAACCCAAAATCATCCACAAATCGTCACCAAAATAAACTGACATCACAACAAATTCACAAAATAAAACATCAACAAAAATTATAGCTAGATGGATCCATGTCGATCTGAAGAGAAGAAAAAGAGATCGATGGCGGTGGCGGCGAGAGTAGTGGAGGAGGATCCAGATCTAGAGAAGAGGGGAGGGCGCCGCCGCAACCTGTCGCCCGTCGTCTCTCCTCTTGCGCCGCTACCTGCTGCGTCCCTTCCCGCCGGATCCAGCGGAGGGGATGGTGCCGCCGCAGCCCGTTGCCCACCGCCTGCTGCCTCCCCTCCCACCGTATCCGGTGGAGGGGAGGGTGCCGCTGCCACCCGTTGCCTACCGGCTCCCCTCTAGCCACCGCCGCTTGCGCGAGAAGTGAGAGAGCCGAGTGAGAGGAGAGAGAGAGAGAGAGACGAGCAGAGAGATGGAGAGAGAGATAGCAGATAAGGTTGACTCATATAGGGAAAGGCCAATGCGTCGCCGCGTCGGGCTAGATCGGCTCGGCGGCTCAACTCGGTTTTCTATAATTTATTATAGGTGCCGGTTTTTACGTAACCGACACATGTAGCATATCAAAGGTGCCGGGTTTTTTTAAAAAACCGGCACCTATACTATATGTGTCGGTTTTTCTTTAGAACCGACACCTATAGTTTCTTAAAGGTGCCGGTTTTTTGTATTTTCAGTCCGTGGAGGAGGAAAAATCACTATAGGTGCTGGTTTTAGCTGTTCCAGTACCTGTAGTGCCGATCTCTATGGGCTTTTTTATAGTAGTGCTACCAGAATTTGGCTCTCCAAATACCCTTATAGTGAGCCAATTCATTGAGCAAGTTTGGCCAACACATATAGTCGATTAGTCAGCCTGCCAAGGACATGATGTATACCTAAAATTCTTTTTTTTTACAAAAAGTTATATGCCATAGGAAAAAGGAAGGAAAAAAGAGACTGTGTTCAACCCAGAAGTCTTCCTAGCTACCTCCCTCCTCCGATGCCCTAAAACCCGATTTGATAACATTTTCATCCCTTCACATTTTTTTTGAACTTTCACAGGGGGAGAGCTTCCCCACCTGAATTTCATTAGCAAAGGTTTGTTAAAGGGGATTAGATTACATTAGACTAGGTGAAACCCCGCGCATTGCTGCGGGAATTTAGTATGATAACAATAAAAAAAACGTGTAAGATAGCTAGATAACATCAGATTAAGTAAATTAATGTGGTTTATGATAATTTAAATTTAAATAGTACGTAGAATGGTGATTCAAACGTAAAAAATAGGGTGGTATGACTTTATGGAAGAAGAAAAGTAGGGAGATAGTTTGGACCGTAGATTAATCATCTAAAGGCTAAAAACAATTTATGTATATGACTTAATTAGAGGAAAAAAGGAGAAAAATAATTTGGACCATAGATTAATCATTTAAGCACTAACTAAGTGAGGATGAACTATATAAGTATATAGGATATCATAAAACATAATAAAGATATACATTGAAACATTATGTGAATTATGTTGGATGAT